GAAGAATGGGAGTAGAGGACGAAGGAACGAGACTGGAACGGCCGGTTTTTCTTTTACCCGTAACAATGTATAAAACGATTGGGCGCGCGGTTCGAGTGCCCGGCCTCCACCACGCGCTTCATACCTTCCACCGTGCTTTGACTGCGCGCGCGCAGCCAAAGCACGGTGTGTGGAAGGAAGCTTGCGTTGGAGGTGGGACCTTCCGTTCTCACCTTGTCAGTGACTGCACCAGTTTCACAATGACACGTAAACATAACTAGAAGTTTCACATTTTAGGAGGACGTTTTACTCTAAAACAATTTTCCGTCCTTCAACCATCCCAATATTTCCTAAACCTCGATCTTGTTGGTATTGTACCCCTGAACTCACTCCTTGAAACACATCAAACCACACGGTTTCGCGGTGGCTCGGTTTACTTCCAAAACGGTGCTTCGATTTCTTGGGGAAAAAATGTACGCAGTAATATAGTTTCGTCATACTTCAGCAGTTTCACCACAACACCATGGCCAAAAATTGTGTTACACAATTCCGACCGGCTGATTACGAAACCTGCTCGATATTAGAACTAAAGAAAATATCGCCTCATACGCCACGAGGAAAAAACAAAAAGTCAAAAGCAGTCTACAGAGTGAGTGAAAAGGATCGATGACTGTTTGAAAATACCGCGTACATCGGTTCGTGAACGCATTCAGCGAAATGACTTTTAGAGGGGCGGCCGAAGAACGTGCTTAAGGGTGTAAAGATTTCACCGAACAAACCTACTTGAGTAAGAAGTTAGAAATGAAAAACGTGAAATTCCTACCTACAGCAGTTGACTGCTTACAAAGAAATAGGTCTGATTTTCGCAAAAACCGACAGATGGAGGTCGCAATATCGCAGGTTGGTAGAGAGACTCTTTACTACAGAGAATTTCGAAGTGCTCTATCGGGATTTGCAATACCAGATGCGAGAAGGTGACGACAACGTTGATCGCCTGCAAATGTACCTTCTTTTGCTTCTGCTTTCGTCTTGGTCACATGAAAACGGAACGCATGCGCACTGGCGACCGACCGCTGCAAGAGTTGCCCGCCATTAAATTTCAAACGCTAACCGTGGTTTGAAATGAACTCTCCCTTCAATCTAGGCTCTTTACAGGTGGTACGCTTAAGCCGTGCAGCAACTGCAAATGCCGGAAGACCCCCCTTCCCCGCTCTTGGGGATCAGGGGATAATAACGAGGAGATGTGTTTTATTCGGTGAAGGCAGTCTCAAAAGACTGTCTGGGGCGCGTTCTTTCCCTGTATGACTGTCCTCGACTTCGGCAATAGCAGTCGACATATTACAGCCAGAAGCGACGGGCTCTTTTTTTTTATGTACGAATCGTTAGTGCATGATTATTTCGTTTTACCAGTAAAACATAAAAAATAAGATAAAATAAGAACAACAAAACAGATCGGCGTTGCCTGGTTTCTTTTGACAAATATTTTCGGCTACATGGCGCCATCTCCTTTGCACCGTCTGGTTGTCACCGCGTCCTTTTTCTTGTCTGTAACTTTCATCCGTGTTGCTTTGAGGCGTAAGTCATCTTCATGGTGCGCTTAGCTCCCAACGAGCGCCGTGAAGTTTGTTTTCTGGTACGGGGAGTTCCAGAGGACGAGAGATGTCCACCGACGTTTTCGGGCGGAGTTTCGGCGGCGATCTCCGGGCTTTCCTACAATTCTAAGCTGGGTGAGGCGTGCTTCAGCGAGGAGGAATACCTCAAAAACAGGCTACCAACAACAGTAGTGTTATCGTAGAAGCTGACGCTGAAAAATGCGGTACTCGGTGCCTTTACTGCCAACCCCCAGCCGTCAACGCGGAGAGCATTGGCTCCATTTTTCGACTCTTGCGCCAATTACTCTTTTGGTTATCACATGGCCGCCGTAGGTAGGGATTTGAAGTTTTGTTTTTTATTTATAACTTTTTAGTCATGTGTAGTGTTCAGTGAACATTTTATACCTTTTGTGCACGGTCGTCGTCTTCCTTTGTGCGAAATTTTAGCTTGATAGATTTAGACACCGATATATGCCATCTCTTTAATTAACCATCGATCCCTTTGACACGCCCTGTAAATTAGTGCCATTGAAAAGTAATGTTTAAGTTCTATTTTAAAATGGGAAGCTTGATTTGTATGCCAATTGCGTAGACGGGTTGGTTTGTTTAATATACGTGAGTTTTCCTACACATGTGTAAGTTATTAACAGAAAAAAAAAAGTAAATCACAATTACACGGGATTAATAAATTATCTTTTCTGAATTACAAGTTTAAATGTACTTCCCTTCAAACGTTTTGTGCGGAATCATAGAGTAATTGGGTGAAACAAATTATTTTTGGTGTGCCGACAGCCCTAACACCAAATATTAGTGTGTTTTTTTCTGACTCTTTCTTCTTTACGCACACTAAAGGACCGCTCACACACTTGCGCTTGAATACGACCGACTAAAGCGAGACCGCCTTTTGACCCTCTTGTGACGTCTTACGCCCGGCTCCGCAGCAGCGCAGCTGGTCGCAAGCCGTAGCGAGAGGCTTAAAATACCAGTCTTGTCTCAGTCGGTCGCAGTCAAACGCAAGTGTGTGAGCGGCCTTGAGCCTTGTAAGATGGCTAAGCTTGTTTAATTACAATAAAATTTGGTCGGGGCTAATTAGTTAAAATGTTAAAAGGTTAAAAGGCGCGAACAAACAGGACGAAAAAAGACACACGTACGACACAGACAGGCGCCTGTCCCTGTCGTACGTGTCTTTTTTCGTCCTGTTTGTTCGCGCCTTTTAGTTTTTTAATTGTTTAATTACACTGTTACTTGTTTCATTTTTTTCTTTTGTTAGAAAAAGAAAGCTTGTGTAGAACGTGGAGAAGTAGATACAATTACATAAAATGTCTTGTAACGCAAGTTCACAGAACGTTTAATGTGACCGAAAAGCGCAGTCAACGCGGGTTGCAACATTACCCTCGATGCTTCGCTATTTGTTCAACATAGCATTGAGACATCCGTCCTTGTGTTGAGCTTTCGTCCATTAGTGGCACGACCGAATGTTCTTGACAAAACTTGGAGCATTCCGTTCTTTTTTCTTGGCGTCTAGGGAGTGAGCCGTACGTGCTGTGGCGATATGCGGGGAACGCCATGTGCGTGTCGCGGAGTGTGGAGACCACTCAAGCATCAAGCCTTCTTGCACGACCGCAGATCGACAGAACTTGAAACAACTAAACGTGGGATGATTTCTTTCATATAATGGCCCCTGAAGCCTGGAATTATTTTTTTCTAAACACTGATGCCAAACGCCTAACTCACTGCTTCGACGCAAGAAAAAAAAATAGAACAAGAAGTTTTTTTGGTTTCGTGAATTCCACTCGGTACGCACCATGTGGACAGACATTAGAAATAGTTTAGCTGGATATGCATGGACGGATGGATGAATAAAGTGTTGGGATTGGAAAGTCACGTTAAAAATGATTGTACGCTTTAAATGAAACCATACCAGATTTTGTTTTTCAGTGGTTGTTTCATTATAATATATGTTATAGTTCCACTTCAATGAAATATTAGATACTCTTCATACTAAGTACAATTTATTCACTCGAGCTCGCGTTTGTTTTCAAGATCGAAGTGTTTTTGAAGCGTCAGTTTCCACAGTCATAAAGGTTAGCTCAATTAAAAATAAAACCGGGACCCTATATTTTGAATATTAATAAACTGACTCATTACTCACTCATTACTTCATGGTTCGTTTTCTGTCGTCCTGATTGTGTAACGCCAAAGTCTCATTGGATTCGAGCTGAAAAAACGTGCTCTGCTGTGTCACAAAACCGAAACGTCTGATGCTATGACTCTCAAGCTCACGTGTTTTTACGACAAGTCCTGGCTCCATTCGCAAAATATAATATTGCGCAATAGTGGCCATTCTGAGGACATCTATTGCAGATGAATTTTAAAATGACGTTACCAACCAAACAATGTAATCTTGAATTATATAGATAAACTTTTAATTATGTGAGTTCATCGCGGTCTAAGGAGTCGATGAAAAGTTGTTCTTATCACGCGCGACAGAAAGGTGCGCGCAAACACCTATATCTCCTGAAAAGCTTGAGTCAACCAACTGTTTTTTTCAGTAAACATATCGAAGGCACAAAACGCACACTGCCTGAATGTTCAAAGCACAATCATTACAGCAAGAAATATCCAGAAGACATAAAGCAGCCACTTGGAATAGCCTTTACTATTCAGCGAGCTACGGGGACCATAATCCATGAAGTCTTCGGCCAGGAAGGCCTTTCTAAGATGTTTGTCACAAACAAGGCTTGGCAAGAGACCAGCCTCGTCTACTGGACCCCATCTTGTTTTTATTAACCGTATCACGTGTGACCATAGATTTTGAAACTTTTTTTTAAGCTGTTACAATTCTTACTCCCCTCCTCAGCAGAGCAGCCAGTCAGTTGATTAATCCGGGGTTACGTCTCTAATATACATTTTTTCCAAAATATTAATAATAATAAAAAAAATAATTTCTGCCGATCGCGCATGCAAGAACATTGAGATTAGAAAGGGTTTAGTCGAACGTAGAATCATGGTAAAACGCAAGCTGACTCGCTCCCTCCCCTATAATGGTTTTAAGCGATTTTGACCACGTGTTTTTTTTTGTTTTTTTTTCTCTTTGCAATATAAGCAGCCGCTTTTTGTTTGGGATTGCCTTTGCAGCCGAGAAAACATCGCCCGACATACCCCGAACCAGATATCTAAACGCCCTTGGCGGGCAATTGAGAGCGCTCGACAACTCCCGATTCATCTGCTGAACGGCCAGTTTAGAGACCTCAGACATGATTCGGGCGGACGACACAAAAGCGGCAGAACGAACAGAGCGGGCTTATTTTAGCCTACTGTCAGCAGGCGAAGGCCAACCACTCCAGCCGGGTGGCATGGTTGGGATGGCTTCTGACGTGCGCAACCCACGTGGCAGCGTCGACGCCTCAGATTGGCGGCGGTGGCGGCAGACCCTTCCTCGTTAAACGACTTGATGTGTCGACTCCGAACACAGTTACCGTGCAACCACCTCCCGTGATTCTGTGCCGCCAAAAGAAAAATAATGCGAGTCGACAATCGTGCTAATCATTATTGAACCCAAGCTCTTAGTTCGATTGCACCTGGGCGGTGAGTGGAATTGATTTATGCTTGTCTCATTGAACAAATTACAATAGATGTGGACCTCTTACGTTTATTTTCGTTGTAAGGAGTTTAGTTAAGAAATCATTCGCAAAATATCATTATTTTTCAACGTGTTAAGTCAAACTGAGATCACATTTACATCAGCGGATATTTTTCCAAATATTCTTTACAAATATGCCATTGCAATTCTTGACCTATGTCTCTACGTTCTTTATTAACTAACACGACTATTAATTCCATGAACTCCTATCGGTTTTCCAAAACTTATGGGAATAACATACTAAGTCTAAATAAGCTAACAATGCTAAGGCAATGAGTAAATCAACGTTCCTTGTATTTTGGGAACCTATCATTTATTTACCATAAAGGGACGACGGTGGCAACTTGCTACAAATTGTAAACGTATGAATATTTGTCAAGACATAGCTGCGCCTGTTTTCACAAATAGCTAGCTCGTTTTCCAACCTTCATCAGTGCCGTCACTAATCGCTCAGCACAACAGCCTGGTTTTCGTTGTTTTCTTCTTGCTCGTTCTGACTCCCAATGATTAAATATTAAGAAGGCAGTCTTACTCCTTACACTCCTCATTTCTCTATTTGGTTTCGTGTGGCTTCAAACTTTAAAATGCCCTCCGTCCTAAGGAGAACCATATTATAGTTACTCTACTGGCTAGGTGTGTCAAAAGTTGTTCCCATTCTTCATATGTTTAAATTGTTAACTTTTTGTGAATCGCTTGATCTGCCCACACTCGCCAGTAGCAGTTTCAACATTGATTTATCTTTATTACTCATGACCTTAGAATAGTTCAGAAAAATATATGTATTTTGTAATTAAGAGGCTTGGCGTCTCTACGTAACTGATATAAAGCTCCAAGAAGCCACGTGTTTTCGAATTAGAGTAATGAAATGGTTTCACGTTCTCCCTTTTTTTCTGCCGTCAGATAATAAAGATATTTATGGTCCATATGTAATTTGGGCTCTTTTATATATTGTGTACGCTCTGTGTTAATTGATTACTGGAAACCTATTGAAATTTTCGCAAGTGATGTGAATAGTTACACGCTCACAAACATAGAAGTTCCTCAAACATTAAGATTTTACGGGAAGTTATCAACGACACATATCATAAACACCGCTAATCAGGTATCTGCTGAGATTTGGTTACTTCTCCTCGTCATCAATATGAGCCAGCGATATTCATTGTGAAAGCACAGATACAGTGAGCGATCGTTTGTGGCCTCCCCTAAATGTCCTATCACTTGCCGTGTAAAACAAGCAGCTGTGTTAGACAAAGGTTACGTTTGAGTTTTCAGTATGAGTGCATTGCATGAAAAATATTTTGATAACATTTCAGTGTGCCTTAATTTTAAGGGCTTTGGCGGAGGACCACAATTCACATAAACTTTATTTAGTTTCACTCTGAATGTCAAATATTATGAGACTCGCAAACGCGTGCATACAGACACAGAGAGAAGAGAGGAGTGCCTGAACAAGGTCTTTTCAGGCGGCAAAGGTTTGCTCGGTTTTCGCGCACATCCCGGAGGGCACACTGACGGTTTGGGGCCTTTTCGTAGGCGCGGTTTCGCGCCGCGAGGCCTAGTAAACATGGGCGCGAACGAGAAAGGTTCCTCGACTCGATCTCAACGGCCCCTTACATGCTGCGCCATTACTTCGAGCGTTCGTCAGAAATGCGAGCGAGCCTTCGCCACACTTTCTCCGTGGCAAAGCGGCGCTATTCAGACACCTCTTTCTTCTTCCACCGTGACAGTCTCAAACCACAAAGTCACGGCGTACTTTTTGGTTTGGGTTGAATTACTAAGAAATAACACTCAACAAACAAATGTAATGACTTTGCGCTTCTACCGCTTTTTCATTGGCTGCATCTTCTCTAAGCGCCAGCTACGATCCAACAAATGGCTATACAGAGTGTAAAATTATTCCATCTATCAAAGTGTACCGTATACGGTTGCCTCTTGCCGTTTGACCGCCGATTGGGATGCCCCCTAAGTTATGATTTTACTCCGAGCTTTCTTCCACCCAAAAATATATTCTCTCTTGCACACTAAATTAGATACACAGTGACCGCTGCGATCGGATGAACTGGATCAAGCAGCATTCAATGCGCATCATTGCGGCACTAGTCGTCTTTGTGTGTTTGCAAACCCTGTCTAAACAAATTGCGCACGAGAAAACAGCAGGATGACGGCACCTTCGTTGTGCGTCAGTGGTTTAGTCGGTAATATCAAACGTACAAAGGCGACCAGCGCCATGACGATGCACTTGTTTTGCTTTATTGGTTCCATTAAAAATCGCATAGCGTCGGCTGTGCTCGGAGCTAGGGTGAAATAGAGCATAAAATGGCTCAGATGGAGAAAAAAAAAACACTGTCATATATGAGCCGGCTTTGGGCAGAACATGCTATAACTAAAGTCCCTAGATAAGAGCTTCCTACAAGTAGCGCTATTCTTTGAAGCGCCAACTGCTTGACGGTGCACGTATTACGAAGCGAATGGGCGGCGCACAGCGGAAGACTAAGCTGAACGACGCCACTTTGTTCCAGAAGAATGTGCTTCATCATTCGTTTTGGTTGTCGCTATACTTATAAAAAGAAATATCGAAGGACTTTAATAAAGGTCCGATCGCAGCGCCGCCCTTCTTGCCGTTGCGGCCACTCATATAACTATACACATATCGAAACGGTGCGTGCACTACAATCGCGCCGTGCTGCGGCTTCCGCGCGAAGTGCCCGATCCAGAAATTATGCGATCTAGAAAGTGCATCGAAAGAGTGAAAAAGACCAGAAAAAACAAACAAACAAACATCTTACCTGTGTCGCCAAGGTGAACTTTCACTGACATTCCTGTCTCAAAAAACTAATTGTGTACGCTCTAAAAAAAACAGTGTAGCTTCACACCCCTTGTCATATAAAATACACCCCAAAACTCCAGTGTGACGTGCAGCGCACTGACGTCGATCTGACCGCCCTAACTTTTACGAGGGGCTGTACTACGGTGCAATATAAAACATTAAACTGCTAAAATACGTATTAAACGCTAAAAGAAAAAGACACTGAGGTTATGCCCTAGGGTTAATGAAACCCCGATTACTTTCTTTGCACTCAGTCACACGCACATGAGCTATTTTAACATGTTGTACAACTAGGCTATCAAATCGCTCGTGAAAGCTGGTACAGTCAGTTCAATGTCAGTGCGATGTACGTCGAATTGAAGTTTTAGGGTGTAATATATGTGGACAAGGAGTGTACGAATATACCTTTTTTTTTTTCGAAGGCAGCACAAGCTGTTCAGCTCGCTATAAACGAACTAACAACAAACTGACTGCCAAAAAGAGGCGCTGTAAGCGAATCTGGCTCGCACTGACTTGGTTCAGGTGGACGCGAGAGGTCTGCGTTCCGAAAATATTTCCCAACTGAGTTGTTCTAAGTAACGTTGCTTAAAACTTTCCTCCGGATGAAACCGAAAACTAGCAAATACAGAAACACAAACTAAACAACTAAAAAAAGGCTCCGCGTATTATAGAATAGGTAGTCGTAAATACACGCATATTAACCTGCCAAGCACTTTAGCGTATGTCCCGTCGCTTTCATAGCTACGACTAGCTTGAACTATAATGTGGAATTGTGTTCTGTTCCTACAGAAATATAATGAAGCAAATTTATAACTATGTTACATTTTATTGCCAATACATCCGTTAAGTCACTGTTGGATTGCATATAACATACATATGAAGGTATGGTTTGTTTTGATTGTGTTATTGCTTATTTTTCGAGTGACTATGCCATCAACTACACTTTAACGAACGTTTCTATATGCCCCAGAAACCGCAGTAATTGGATTCACGCTCGCCGCACGAAGAAGTGGGGAGTCATTTTAGTACACGTTTCCAATCAGCGAACTCTTAGAACTAGTCTTTTCAAAATGATTAAAACAACATTTGTTGGGGCTGTCGTGTTGAAACTGCGGGCAAATCTTAATAGGAATGAACTGTACATACATGCAGCAAGATGGCGGCGCAGATAGCCGTACTTGCAAACAAGGCGAAGAACTCAACGAAAGGCCCTGCCTTGCAGAAGTGTTGACAACTGGGCAGGTTGGTACTGATTAATAATGAATCAGTACTATTTTGAACAACTAGCGCTCTTTTGTTGTACTTGCTTTCTTTTGGTACTTTTCGCGTTTTGTGTTTTATTGGGCACCTTGGTTGTTTTTTTTTTTTTTTTTTTTTTACGAAACGAAGGCTGCGAATTCTCAATTCCAACGTACACATTTCTTAGTTGGCACCAACGTTACTAGCACAATCAGTTGGGAAACTCGCCGTCGAAACCTGGGCCGCTGGCGTCCACCGAGACCGAACTAAATACGAGAACAGCGCCACTCTTCGTAATTTGTCTGTACTGTGGTCACCTTGAGCTTTTAGAAAGCCGGTTTTTGCGTAAAACGAAACGGAAAAAACTCTTTTTGTATGAAATTTGTTGGAGTTTAGTACAAAATAAAGGGCGCGTGTTATTTTTAAAATCTTTAGTTCGTAAGGTTTTGCAGCACAATTAATATTGTTTTTATACAACCATGCATCAGCGGTGCTTTCATATATAGCGCGTCCCGACCTAGGTGCATTTTAACTTCGGTATAGTAAGACGCGGCGCGTCCGCTGGGGATACCGGGGTGGCATCTCTGTAACCTCTTCCATTGTATCTGTTTCGGCGCCAAAATGGCCGATTAAAGCCAAAATAGATGTAACGTGCGGTTCCTCGAATGGCCATGCGGGAGTAATGGTGGCGTTGTGTTCGTCATAAGATCGGTGCTCGAGGACAAATCGGGGCCACTTTATCAAAGCAGTCTCTATGGCAGTTTCCCAACTGAGTGCTTTAATAACGTTGCTTGGCACTGAGCTTGCAGGCAATACCCACTCGATCCAATGGCGGCTCTCAAGGGGACCGCAGGGCCGTGGAAGACGTTTGCTGTAATTTCACTCATCCTGATTGTCTGTAGTGCGGAAGAGTAAGTACTACCGTCTTACAATACTAACTAAAACATCAAACCCGGCTTTTCGTTTTCTTTTTTTTGCTTACATGCCAATTTTTTAAAGGAGCATTCACGAAACCATGTCATGGAAAGCCAAGCTTGATTCTCAATCTCCGAACACTTTATTAATTGGAGAAACAATGGAGAAACAATAGAGCTTGTGGAAACTGCAGGTGTTGCAAGAGCTTTGATCCAGTCTCTCAGCTCACATTGTCCGGTCTTAAATTCTTATTTTAGGTGTGCGTCAGAGCAGGAGTCGCAAAAAATATTAAGTGACGATCAGGAGCGATTACAATGTTTCTTTCATTTTGGCAGGTCTTGGTTGGTCAACCGCGACACACAGACCTTGTACAAGATACTCGGCGACATCAATCAATATAACGTGGTTGTACGACCTAGAGGAAATCAAACTGAGCCCGATGCAGGTAAGCGACATTCATTCATTAAATAAAATGAAGAATAAACTAACAAGCTGACTATTGCAATTATTATTATTATTTTCTTAATTGTCTGGCATTACAATAAGCCTTTTTGTGCATAGTGTCGTCACAAGCAGCCAATGGTTTCTACTTGATATCTATGTCACCTGGTGTAGTACACAAGCCGGCAACATGAAAATAAAATTAAAAAAAAAATTGTAAGCAGGCCTTTATAGCGCAGTATGGCGCAGTATAGTCAATAATAGCATATTTGACAGGCAAATGAATACTAGCGCCATACTCTTAAAGGTTCTCGAAAGTATATAATGGAAGGTTAATTTTTGTGGTGATGAGGGTCCTTGTTAGGGCTAGATTGCCGTTCTTTCGTTTCGCGTGTTATAAGGCAGTACCTGCATGTGGGATGTCAATTGAGATAGCAAAATTAACCGGACTCACGTTTTATATGTTTAGCTTGAGGTAAATTGTTGCTGTTTGATTCAAAGCACAAATCCTTACCTTCATCGCTCCTTGCAAGAAGACCTCTGACAATGCATGGCTGACCCAGCCCTTGTAGATTAATGGTTACTTTATTACACGCCTAAGCGTTATTTACACAATAATATATGTTGTCTACTGCAGTTGTTTTAAAAGAAGCCTCATGATATGAAATCCGTTAAAAAAATTTTAGTATCTCTTAAAGTTTAAATGAAAACCAGTTCTTTAGCCTTAGTGTGGGATCAAAACAATCATATATCTCACGCGCGGTAGAATCTAGGATAATTATTATGACAAAAAATGTGTTCGCACTTGCAAAATGCTGCATTCAATACATATATGCACACTTAAATCTCGGTTCAACACTACAATAACTTTCTGCGTCTAAGATAATAAAGCAGATTAAACTTCAACAAAATAGAGCGAGAGAAAATAGAAGGCGTAAGTTGTGCAGATGAACGCTACTATATCATGTGACAACTTTTGGTGAGAACGCTGTCAAAGGTATACGCACACGCATTAGTTTCTTTGCGTGAACTTCCCCAGACAGTTTGCTCCAATTTTAGCGAAGGGGGAGAGATGGATTAATTTCGAAGCCCAAGCCACTAGCTCTGCTTACAATAGACTGACTCCAAGACCCAGTATATCGCTGCCATTGATTAGAACGTTTGTATTTGGGTTTATCGCCGATGTATCACGCGCCCAGATCTAGTGCATATAGCTTCGTTACAGCGTCGGAGTGCTCTGATGTTGAAAACCTTCTGCGATTATTAGACGGGTTGTGAAGTCCCTGTAAGTGTAATATTATCAAGCAATTTATAGCCAGGTTGACTTATATATATTTTTTTTAGATTAGCCTATTTCTTAATGTTTAGACGAAGCTGTTATAACTGACAATAATAATAATAATTTTTTTTTTGTTTTCCGTCAAGGTCTGTTGCCAATTACGATGAACATGTTTGTGCGATCTATTTCGGATTTCTCTGACGACACAATGGTGAGTAAAGAAAAGAGCCCTACCACTTTCAAAAACAGTAAGGAAACCTACGGCAGTTTGACTACTATTTCGGTTGCTCGCTAACTGGTACGTGCCACAAAACTAAACAAAATGTCGAAATTGAGTAACAGCTTTAGAATAGGGAAGTAAGCAACCAGTCGATTCCAGTGTAAGACCCGTCCTCCCGTCTAGTTCTCCGGAGAGAACCCAGAGAGCCGCTGACTGGTATATACAGGCCCATACTTCCATATTACTAAGTCCCTGAAACATCATCACCCAAATATGCAAATTACGGAGGCACACTGAACACGATGCTTCACATGCGTAGTGCACACACAACACTTTTGGGGTCAAATCAAATTACAAACCTGGTCCACTTTAGAAGCTTTTTTTTATCAAACTTTTTTGGTTGACTGCAGAGTTTAGCTCTTTTGCGTGTTCGGACACACTAGAGCTGCCTATGATTTAACCTTAGCTGAAGAAGTTCTGAAAAAAAAAAAAAAAAGAAGAAAAAAACGCGTTAGATGTGAGTTTTTGAGTATTTTTATCCCGTGAATCTGAACATCACGTTCGCTTTCCCTGAAGATGTAACTAAACGCGAAAAACAAAGAAAAACCTCATACCAGTTGTTGCGCCATGCCCAGATCTTTCCGCCGCCGAGCGCGTGTCGCTCTCGTGGGCAGCGCAGGCACGAGCACGCGAAGCGTGCACGCCATAACATCACCTCGACAGGCTTGCAATGGCATGTGCTTGCTGCCCGTGCAGAGACATGGCGGTGGCCGGATGCGGCACTGAAAACTATGGTGCCTGGTACGCGTCTCCGACGGGTGTGTTTACCGCGTCCAAAAATGTGGTCCCTCAATTTTCGCCTGATGACGCCATAGAAGTGTCAAGCTGTCGCCGGTCGCGATTTTGGCGGCGTCCCAGCAGCTGTGGTATATGTGACAGACGCCTGTTCTGCTACAGGTCGTTCTCCAGTGTGGCCGTCCAGGGAAGCTTCCGCAGCCAGAAGTTGAAACGCCGTGACGACAGCGACACTCGCGTTAGCTTGTGCTACTCGTAGCTTCCCCTTAAAGTTTCTACAACCAACCGCCAGGATTGTGATGTGCAACAGCATGACACTCCGACTTCTGTGACGTCATTTGTCGCCACTTCGACACAACTTTTGATGTATGGGAAAAATAGGACGCTAAACACACCATTCGAATACGCGCTTCAGACTATATACCGACAACAGTCACGACCTGTTTTACTGATCTTTTTGAAAATAGCAAAAGCTTGCGTGCTTAGCTTTGATAGTCGCTGAAGATACGCAAGAGCGGGAACGCCGAAAACTTTGGGTTTGACGTCACGCTTCGGAAAGGATGGACTTTAGCGAACTTTGGAAACTATTTTCATCAGCCGTTGTGCACTAAATTGAAAAAAAAGTCGATATTTGTGATCCTGAAGGCGAAATGAAGGCGATTGAAGGGCTTTTCCTTGAATACAGAACCGCTTCAGTTTCACTTTAAATCTCATGACAGCCGACGCTAAGCGCTGATCGGACCAATCATAGAGCGTGAAAAGCGCAATACATAGTAATCCTTATACTTCTGAGCCTGTTTTATCATGACGGAACCAATCATGGACTGGGAAGGCCCAGTGACTTGCGTTTCGACGCTGCTTGATTTGTTTCATAAGCTCGAAGCGTCGGCTACGCGCGGCTTAAGGTGGAACGAATTATGGCGGGCCTTGCGATGGCGGCAACTGAACGAGGCCAGCATACTATAAGCTGAATCTCTAATTACCTTGTCCATTGTCGCTGTGGTTGCCATATGTCTTGCGACGTCACCATAAAAACGTGCATGTTATTATATACGAATTAAAAATGGACGCATATTTATAAAATGAAAAATAACCATGTAACTTGGAGCAAGATAAATTGCCGTACGGTAATCAGATATCTCAGAATTTTGGCCGATTATTTATTATGCCTTTTTGAAAGAAAAGTAGACTCAAGTGCTCCTTGTCTTTTCAGATTAAGCATGCAATCTTTCGATATAAATACAAGCACAAGAAAAGCGAATGTTTGACGGCGCCCTTTATTTTCAATGCCTTCGACTGCAGCGAAGCTATTATAGACGCTCGAGCACAACTTGTCAGCAAGACGTCAACTCTATAATCACGAAAAAACATGAAAAAAAGACTCGGGCGTGGCGAGTTTTTAGCAACTTATTATGACTCCGGAGTCAATGAAATTACGGCATTATCCTGTAAGAATCTCCACGGACAAATCGCGAAGGATAAAGCGTGTGCATAATGACCTACACATCGCGTTTCTTAAGTTACCGTTGTTTACAAAATGATTCATTATCTAGAAATGCTTGTGCGGAGAACAAGTTCGTAGGCTTCTTCTGCAGGAGTTCTGGCGACGTCAAAACGCCGTGCTCTAATTGGCTCTGATTGAAGGGTGGTGGGTATGCGTCAAAGCAAGCTGCCTTGGGGTCTACCCACTATCCTTCAATCAGAGCCAATCAGAGCTCGGCGTCTTTCTGACGTCCCCACAACGCCTGTAAAAGAAGCAGACGAACTTGCTCTTCGCACAGAGAAATATCTTAAATGACTCCTTTTCAGCGTAGATTGTATCGGATGTTCAAATTTCCGGAGCTTTAGAATATATAATTGTAAATTTTAATGTTGAGTATACTTGACCTGGCACTGTTACGCGTTCGTGTTGATCAAATTGTTCTTACATTCATCAGGCTGAAGCTGCAGCTCTTATCGTGAGCGTTCAGCGCTTTTTAGCTGCTGAATCTTGCAACGTGAAGCGCACGAACTCATGGCTCTCTTATTTACAGGACTACAAAATGCAGATTACGCTGCGTCGAGAGTGGCGCGATGAGCGTCTGGTCTTTGACATGAAAAGTGGAAAGACGCACATGACTCTGCAAAACGACCAGTTGATTTGGAAACCGGACACTTTTTTTTCCAACGAGATTGAAGGTCATTTCCACGATATCACACAGCCGAATGTTTTGGTTCGCGTGTTCCCTGATGGCAGAATCATGCACAGTCTGAGGTTGGTCTTCTTCATACATTATAAAAGCCGTACCAATAATAAAATAGTCCGCATTCATTGCTCCGCTCAGTCCCGCCCCCTCCCCCCACCTGCCCCTATTTCTCTGAAAGTCCTAGATTTTATTAAACGACTGACGATCTGTTGCCCTAGGGCTGCAACTTGAACCCAATACTTAAGTGTAGTTCTACTTTTCACTAAAACTTTAAAAAAGTATTGGTAGAAACTAATTTATTTACACGTACGTGAAAAAATATTCTGCTGATGACGAACCCGCCAACAAATTCTGTGGTAGCTTTCCTGCCACTCTCTGTGCCTAGTTATATGCGTGGTGTTCAAGAAGTGTTTCCTCTTGGACTGTAACTCCTTTATTCGGTTTCAGAATCGAAAAAAAAGTTACAATCAAATGAACGTGAAATATCTTCTTTCTTGGGTTCACATCACTTTTTTTATATAGTTTGCCAAAACAGCAATGAACGTCTGCCGCCGGGGCACTAGTCTGCATGCCGTCGTAGAAGAATGAGGGTGACTGTTGACGAGGCCAGCGCTGCGTGGAGGAACTGCAGTTACAAGATGTGTTGCCTCACCTATCATATAGCCCAGACCTTACGCCATGAGAGCTCTTGCTGTTTTCCAAAATGAAGGAATATCTGAAGGGTACGCCGACTGCATCCAATGAGAAGGTCAGCAATGCAGTGCGCCTTTGGTGTCGTCGCCATGCAGATACTAGTGCATCGAGGGCAGAAGTGCACCGCCACATGTGGGGTCAACAATAAAAGTCGTGTTCTCCCCGAAAAAGGAGAGTTCATATCTTAATCTGAATTTGTCATCTCTCAAGTCCATCCATGACGGAAAAAAAGGTTACACCTCAGGAGGCAAAGCTTAATGAACAACCCTCGTAGATCGTTAATAAGAGCTCCATTTAGTGTGTCGTGTTCAGTTTTATAAATTATATGTTAAATTATCTTTGTTCATTTTAGGTTAACAATGACGCTGGCTTGCCCCATGGATCTGCGAAATTATCCTTTCGACAGACAGATCTGCTCCGTCGTCTTGGTGAGCTGTAAGTAAACAAATCGCCTTTCATAGTAATGACGTCAATTCAATTGCCAATTCAAACGGGCAGATCACGTTTTATCAGCGTTTTTGCGATACTGACTAAAAGCAAAGCATCCCATGTGTCAGTTAGACGTCTTTAAGATATCTAGCTTACACATGGGATGTTCTGATGATCTCAGTCGACCTCTGACGTTTCTGTTGACTCCAAGCGTGACTCCGAGTAATTAAGACTGATAACCTCACATCATAGGTTTTATCTGGTTAAAGCACTTCGCCTGGGTTTGTTATATTTGCATTTATTATTAATTTTATTACCTCCAGGACCCGGAGGCATTACGAAAGGGAAGAGCAAAAAAAAAAAGAATAGGATATAAAGAATTCTAGTACAAAAATGCAGTGAAAAATTGACCGGTGAAGGATTGACATAAATTAATGATTATTGCAAGCTTGAAATAATCGAGTGATTATATGGACACTAAGGATGCGGGAAGGGGGTTGTGTTCAGATGACATTTTGGGAATAAAAGACTCGATGTAGGCACTAGTGCGACAGAGAAAAACTCCACTTTAAATTGACGGTCAATATGAGGTAGGAAGTAGAAGCTTATTTTTTAGAGCAGGGTAATAGTAATACTTTTTATAAAACTACATAAACGCGATATGTGGCGACACCACAAAAAAGAGGAAGAGACAGGTTAGTGTTTACGGACGGGACACTGGCCGTACCATGATAGTTAACAAATAAATCGCTCACCACAAAGTTGGGCAGCCTCAGGTTAAACACGAGCGTTGATCGACCAGGATACTCACTAGGGTCTTAAATAAAGGTAATTTATTTACACAATTAGCCAGCACAAAATTTAGTACTAAGAATCCGAGCATAGAGTTGGCATAAGCAATTACATGTGATCAGTGTGAGTTTTCCACGACATGTTAAATGTAATCGCGAGGTTTAAACCCCGAAACTGTGTTAAGGAAAAAATATAAAACTTTGAAGTGGAAGAAAAAATTTAAAGCCGTTTACAATTCCCTGTAACGCCGGTTAGAGCGCAACTCTTGAAGAGGAGGATGGAAGCGTACTGAGGGATAGGTGAGTCCTGCTTGGTCCCGCTTGGTCCCATCGTGTAAGTTAGAGATCAAAGCCAACGTCCGTCAAGGCCAGGCCAGATTGTTTGATGCAAAAGAGCACGCACAAAAACAATATACACTTTTTTCTTTGTTCGTTTCTTTTTCTTTTTTAGTTGCGCTGTCTTGACGGCGGAGACGCTGTTGTCGACTGTGGATACTCGAGTGCGTGCCGAGAGGACTTTAACTGGCCAATCGCGTCACAGCGTCCACCGTGCGATGTGTCCTCACGCACATATCTTTATGTATATCTTACACTGTGGTTGAGAGTTATGCACCATAGGTTACATCGTTCTATAACTGCGTTTAAATCAGTCAAAAATAACAAAGTCAGATTCGTTAGTAATTTGCTATAAATAACGCAATCGTCCGAAAAAAAATATATTGCTGTTAATATTGGTTGCACTACTCCCGTTAGAACTTAATTACTAATATAAATCAATTACCTGATGAGTAAAGTCAGCAGACGGAGAACTTTAGTTAGTCAGTTATCATACCCATCTAAAGACTTTTGTTTTAGCAATAATAAAAATGATGTAAAAATAAGATGGATTCTTTTAAGTTTTTGTTCCCATGCCCGTTAGAAGTAGTAAGTAATTTTAAGTGTTTGCACCCTCGTCGATACAAAGTATTACACAGTTTCTTTTAGCAAAAGAAAAACCGAAAACTGAGCACCGCATTCACGTATTCATTGGTAAGCTAAACGTAGTAAAAGACGTATATAATTTTTTCCTCATTTTGATTTATTTCGGGCCGGGTTTGAAAGAGGGGTCAGACCAAAAGCTAAATAGGCTGACGAGCCTTTGGCACCTCACAGTTCATACAAGTGCTTACATACATGAACAGAGCTAAATGCATTCAGCTGAAAGTCACTTCCTCGAACATGGCGCTCGGAATAGTCAAAATGACACAAATATAAAGAGAGAACAAAAATATGCAAAATATATTAATCGAAGAATGATTAAATATATGAACGCAAACAGATAACGCAAAGTGCCAAACAGAATCAAGAACCCAAACCTTATAGGTTATATTTTATTTGAACGAGAGCATTTTCGACAGAAGTCTGTCTGGAGGGGGAGAGGGTAATTTTAAAAAGAAGTAGCTTCAACAAAAACTACAAAAAAATACAACCCAACATTTTAAAACTTGCCCGGGTTCATCAGGGGTGACTTTATTGTGAAGATTATCTGTAACTTTCAACTTATTAGTTGGGACCTGTTTATGTTTCCCGACGTGTACTGCATGTGCCAAGATTCTATGGAAAGGCCTTTTTCTGATAAATGGCTCAGTTTCAGTCATGCCCACGTTTGCAAAGTTGATCATACGGTCGTGGACATCGCATTGTTCCACGACGGCTCTGCGCTTGTGGTCGCGCTAAAGGGTTTCTTCATATACGCAGGCGCCTTTCCCGGAGTGGTGATATCTCACCTTTTTTTCCGCCCAATCGTGTTTTGTTTTCACGTGTTCTTTAGTGCACGAAATCCGGTGTTACTCAGCTTGAGCGCGTAGCCTTCACTAATGCTTAGACTCAATTGAACCCTGCAAGTGACGCACTGAGTGCGCGAGCGCGTCACGCGATGGCCCACTCAGTGCACCAAAAGATGCCCTCAGACTGAGACGTACATGAAGGTACCCTAGGTCAAGCTTGCCCAAGTCGTTCTTGTGTTGTCTGATGCTCTTGGAAGACGTTTTGGAGCGCAGCTCTCAGGCGCACGTTTCCGGGTTGAGCGCCGTCGGCGTAACCGCTCGTTGGATTATGGGACGCTTCCCATAATGACCTCACACGTGACGTCACGTGTGAGTCGCGAGGGTTACCCTCGTGAGGGTTACGAGTGTTACGCTCACGAGGGTCATGAGGGTAACCCTCGTGACCCTCGTGCTCGTAACCCTCGTAACCCTCACGAGCTAAATTTTCGGCGAAATTTAGCGGAAAAATTTCCACGCCAAATTTAGGGGAGAAATTTTACCCTCGTGACGTCACGCGTAACGCCACTCAACCCGGTAAAATATTTCCACTAAATTTAGCAGGGAAATTTTCTCGCTAAATATAGCAGGGAAACTTTTCCGCTAAATTACGTAGGAAAATTTCCCCGCTAAATTTAGCGGAAATATTTCCCGGCAATTTTACCCTCGTGACGTCACACGTTACTTCACGTGAATCCGTATGACATTAGGAAAAATTGAGTGGAACAAGCTTTTCCGCTAAATTTAGCTTAAACTTTTTCCCGCTATATTTAGCAGGGAAATTGACATTACGGGACCTCAACACCAATTCAGCTTCCCCTCTCCATTTAGCAAAAAAAGCTTCCACTCAGTTGAGCGGGAAAACGTTGGTAAATTTCCGCCTAATTTTAGCGGGAAATTTAGCGAAAGTTTTCCGCTAAATGGGAGGGGAGCAGGAGAGTGGGAGGATAGGTTCCGGGAGGGGGAGCAGCAGTAACCCACCCTCCCCTCCGTACCCTCCACTCCTCCTGCTAAAGGATTGCGTTCTAATTCTGCATTTCATAAAATTGTTATTGTCTTTCATTTTTTTTTCACCTCGTCGATGTAAGTAGCGCGATGTAAGTAGCGGGGCACATTGCATATGGGATCTTGTAGACCATGTAAGTAGCGGGGCAATCGCCCCCCCAAAAGCCCAAGCACAGGGCGTGCACGCCCTGTGCTCTGGTTCATAGGGAGGCGACTTTTGGCCAGACAGAGGAGAAAACACGAGACAAGCACTGAACAAGAGACTGATTGCGGTATCGGTGGCCCAGTGAGCTAGCGCACACCAGCTTGGAGCACGTGAAGCGAAAGCTCGCGCTGCAGAACCCAGGAGCCTGGGCGCAATCTCCACCCCTGCCCGTTTCGATCTGGATGGGCGTCGTACCGGCGCGCGGTCGTGTATCACTACTTCGTGATGCACATCAAAGACCCCAGGCTAGCGTTTCTACTGTACTGGCTAAATTTCTCATCTACAGCTGTGAGACTCGACGCCCGTTGAGGCAGACCAAATTCTAGGCTGTATAAACATATACACAACCCAATTTTAGCCCCCAACTGATTCTATCGAAACGAAAAAAAACATACACATTCTGCTGCTGCTGTTCGTCAAAGTCACTGTCGGCTGGATCACACACGAGGATCCGTTTTGTGTTATGCAGCACGTCTCCATCATTCCTCGGGCCAGCCGGCAGTGACTTCGACGAGCAGCGAGATCAGCTTTTTGAATCTTGGATAAGTCGGGCGGTTTCTAGTAGGGTGAAAGAAGAAGCCCCAGTGCCACAGAGGGGCATGCTTGCAGGAGCACCAGCAGCATCATGTGTACTTTTTTGTCTCAATAGAATCAGTTGGTAGTTCAGCGCCTGTCCTGTGTTTCTCCTCGATTTGTCCTTGTCCCAGTACCGCTGTAAGTTAGGATGAACTCTCACCAACTCTTACCGATTCGTCCCATTGTCCATTTTGCTAGGCGATTTTTGGGTCGCGCTATGAATCGTCCAAATGTGAACACAGGTGTGTGAAACAGTTGGTCTTTCTTTTTAGCACACGCGCCAGCGCTTCGCTTGTTTTCTTGACCTAGGGGACGCTGATGCGCGTGATGGACTTAAGCTGCGTGCGTTGCTATGGCCTTTTGTTTTGGCACGTGCGACGTTTGCGACGGGCGATCCGCCCAACAAAGCTATTGTTACTGCCATTTTTCTTGAGATCAGTGACGATGGTGTGAATCTATTCTCTTCTATCAGTCTCTGATGAGCAGATAGTCATCGCCCTAAATAAAAGTGTTAAGACCCCTGACGCTTTCTGACTCATTTGATGGTTCGAGTCAAACTGAAGGTAGCTCCCGGTGTGCGTTGGTTTCCTATGCGTAGTAAAATTCCATTTTTTCCTTGTGTTTTCACCAACGCGCTGAGAAATGGCACGGTGTCATGCCTCTCACATTCGACGGTGAAATTAATTGCCGTCTAGACAGAGTTGTGGTGGGCCAAGAAGCCGTTGACTTCAGATTTTTTCAAGTAGTACCTGTAGTCAAACAGCCCCTATCTCCGACTGATCTTTAGAAATGGACCTGCACAAGGCTTTAACGTCCTCCAAATAATCTACAAGCAAAACGTTCCCTTACGATCTATTGTAGACTTCTCGACCTCGCCACTTCGCTCGCTCTCCAAGTACCTGTACCAGGCTAGGACTCCCCTCATGGGAAATACGTGGACCTATGTGCGAGACACCGGGCACTTACTTGAGAGTGCATATTAAATAAGGTCCAACGACAGTGACTGCATGGTGTCCTTTGACGTTAGGTCACTTTTTACAAGCGTTCCAGTTCCGTTGGCAGTCGCCCCAGCCAAAGAGGTCTTCGAAAAAGACGAAAACTTGGGTTCAAGGACCCGCCTCAATGTGGATGAACTGCGTAGCAGAACGAGTGTTTTCTCGGCAGTATATATTTTTGTTTTGAATTTAACTGTTCAAGCAAGTCAGCGGAACTGCAATAAGTGCATCTATCTCTTTCACGACGGCAAACCTTACAATAGGCGCAATCGAGCAGAGAGCGCAATAATATTTCACCAGCAGCACCAAATGTTCTTGTTTTATGTAAATGACTGTTTCTGTATTTTAAAGAAAGGGAAATTAACAATTTTTCGGCCTACCTCAGTTCCATCGAGCCGGCCATTTAGTTTATTGTCAAATGCGAGGAGGATGACAACTTGCCCTTGCTTGGTAAATAAAGTTGGTAAAAAATCAAAGGGAAAAACTGAAGTTTATTGCGTATAGGAAATCAACACATACTGGGCGCTATGTTCACTTCGACTCCAACCATCCAAAGGGTCAGAAGGCGTCCGTGGTCTCAGCACTTCTATCCAGGGCAACGACCATCTGCTTATTAGAGATCAGTAGAAGGAAAGAGATGCGGACCATCAGTAAAAGTAAGTTCCTTGGTTGAATAGATGATGACTGCCCAGCGGTGTCTTGCGGGGACAATCGTTTGATGAGCTTTTTTCGGCGGGTGATCAGAAGAGTGCGACGAATGCGGGAGGACTTCGTCTAAACCGTTTATTTAGACGTCACGAGCTATTGTACACAGTATATACAAAGCAAAGAAAATTCGCCGTCCTCCAAATCAGTCCAAGTCCAATCCAGAAAGGGGCCTCTCTCTCCCCAGTCACGGGCCTTTGAAGGCGCTGACCCCCTCACTCTCGGGCGAGGTTCAACCACTCATGTCAAAGTTTTGCTGAAGCCACGTGATATACACCGTCCAATAGTTGGCAAAGGCGTCGATACACATTCTTTAACTTGCCAACGGACTACAGAGCCAGTGACAAAAGCGCCCAGTGCGCATACGCTATTGGCCCTCCCCTTCCCCCCCCCCCCCCCATCTACATTCCCACAACGCTTTCTCTCTCTCTCCAACGGACTACAGCCGACAGCTCCGTAACTTCGTCCGTGCATTCCGTTGCAGACACAGCGGCACCTTTCCGGAACCCCAAGGTTGAAACCCAAGAAGCCCCGTAGTATCCGCAAGCCTTCAGATTCAAAAGAAAAACAAAATCCCTTCCCGAGGGGTCATCCCGGTGGGGGAGACACGGGAAGACGCTGTCCAGGGAGGGGGGGGGGGGGGGGGGGGGGGGGAGCCGCGTCGGCGGAAAGGCCCACGCGGTCCCTCGTTAGGAAAACAAAACTACACAAAACGACTGTGTGTGTGTGGGGGGGGGGGGGGGGCATCATACACCCCGCCAGACAAGAGGACCGTCGCCCGGCCGACCGAGAAACCAGCCGTTTTTACCAGAACCCTTACACCATTGTTGCTGATCTCAAGAAAAATGGCAGTAGCAAGCGCTTTTTTGAGCGCCTCACGTGTCGCAAAGGCGTACGTGCCAAAACAAAACAGCTATCACAACACACGCAGCCTCAGCCGATTGCGCGCATCTGCATTTTCAACGTAAAAAGAACCAGAGAAGCTCTTGCGTGAAGTGCTGAGAAAAGGAGGACTCCAAGTGGCCCACAAGCCTGCATCCACATTGGGACGACACATTGCGCGGCCAAAAATTGCCTCCCTAGAAAGAGAGAGAGAGTGCACAGGGCGTGGTCTGCAAGATCCCACGTGCAAAGTGCTTCGATATTTAGATTAGCGATCGAGCAAGATTTTTATTTCCCTCACAACATTTGTTACCTAAAATTTAAAACCAATCTGGTAGGCAATCGCCCCCGGCTCCCCTGTCCCGACGCCACTGGTCTGCGCGTGGGGTTTAGTATTCCTTACAGGATCAAAGAAGACTTTTTTTTTTTATGTAGTTCACTGAGGTTTCCTTTTGCTTTTAAAGCTGAAAGAGTGAGACCCATAGATGACGCATATTGATATAAAAAAATGTATTTGCAAATTTTTACTCTCTGCCTACTCACTATGGCTGGCTACTTACTCCTTTTGCCTGAGTTCCACAAGCGCTACAAACAGAATCAGCCGACCCCGACAGGCATCAAGCCCGAGCATCTTGCACTCAAGAGTATCTTTGGCAGGCCTGCAATCACTCGTGATTGCTTCACGAGCGTCGAAAGACTGAAAGTCTGTCAAAGATGCCTTCGCGCGTCTGCTGCACGTATTTGAGCCTGTCGGTGTCGGTTGTTTCTGTTTGTCGCTCTAGTGGGACTCGGGCATTATCCCCGAGTCACACTAGAGCGACAAACATAAAAAAGGCAGGCTTCCAATCACTGAGGCTCGCTTCGCAAGCACCGAAGGACCACAATACTGCCAACGATACCTTATCTAGCATGCTGCCCGTGTTTGAGGATTGCCGGTGGCGGTTGTTTTTGTTTGTTGCTCTAGGGCGTCTCGGATTTTAAGATTCTAAAGCAAAAAGAGCCCGACAACTTTCCCTTTCGGTGTATTCACAACAAGGCAACGTCGAGTACGGCGTTTTGAGTATTCCGGCATTTAATCACTTGTACTAATCTTTTTCAGTGTCAAGTCTACCATTGAATTAATGCCTTAATGAACGTTACCCATTCCCTCTGAAAGACACAAAAGGGCGTACAATTTACAAACACCCATAAAATCGGTTATGGATGAAGCCTGTCGAAGTGACATTCTATTTCAGCAGAGCGCATTAATTCAGACACCCATGCTTGACCTACTTCGAAAGGGCATCTGGTATTCTTAATGGGATATAGCATGCACCATAATAATTATTTTACAAAATGCTCATCGATTTGTAAGGAATTACAGATTGAGTCACGAAAGAAAGGTATACACTTTTGATGAGCTTAATGACCAATTACCTATTTTCACCATCCATTAATTAATTTTTACAGACGCACATACCACGGAAGATATCATATACAAGTGGAGTGAAGACAACCCGCTGCAAGTTGCCAGAAATTTGCACATTAGAAAATTTAATTTGGTCGGTTTCTCCAACACTACGTGCCGTTCCCGAACCAGAACAGGTGAGAACCAAATGTGCTGTCATCAGTAAGTATTAGCATTATTAAGCATTAGTATCATTAGTAAGCACTAGTACTTTCGTCGATGTCCATAATGTTTTTTCAACAATACAAAAAAGTTACATCCTTATGTAGAGAACTTGGGCTAGTATAGAATGCAATGCTTTGTTTGATGACGATAACCCTTCAATTAAGCGTAAAGTTAAAATGAGAATGTAGATTTTGATGCGCTACGATTGCATTGCACTTGCTTTTTAGATTAGAGATTTGTTTCTGCTTGAGGGCGCACTAGCAAAAATATTTCCTCCTTCGTGAACCCATTTTTTATTAATATTTATTCTTGTATTTTCTCGTTGAGCTCACGGGTCTAGAAGAAAACTCTCGCTAAAAGCAGAAAACACCGCCTTCTCTTTGAGAGACAGAAGGGGAATGAAGAGGTGGTTTCGATAATTGTCGCGTGTATTAACATTTTTACCGTAACTAAAACATCAAACGTTAAATTTTCCATTCTAGAGGTAAATCAAGCCAAAGTGTAAATTAAATACCTTTTTTTTTATTTCTCGCCATATGAAACATTTAGGGAGGGTATTTTAGGCGCTCCTCATTGCTTTCAGATCTTCGAACAAAAATACACAATAAGGCAACTATTTTTCTTATTTTATTTTTACGATACTCTTAGGACTACTAAACATTCAAAATATGATCATCCTTTGTTTATTTGTTTTTGTTATCCTTTGGGTTTGTTCTAAGGTGAACAAAATGTTTTGATATAAGCAGTTGAGGTGCAACATAAATAAAGTTTGAACTCCATGGAGCGATTATTCAGCCTAGCACCGTCGAACTTCGCCTGGCGGCGCGTTCGCGTTGTGCGCGGCGCAACAGCCAATCTTCTGACGCCAAGCGCACGAACGCCGCCGGGCGAAATATGTCACTTTTTGCGCTCCAAGGAGTTCAGCCTTAATATTAATAGTCGGAAATAACAAAAAAATTAACGCCTTGCTTTTTTTAAAGGCCAAAGTCCTATATGTCTGATTACGCGAAAAGGCGTTGTCCCCGAAAATGCCTATAAAATACGGCATCAAGCACGCGCTGCTCAAGGTCAAAGCGGACGCGCCTCATAAATAAAACACAAAGAAAAGCACAGCAACGCAGATGCCTCGTCACAGAAGCAATGATGCAGGCGGGGGCGCCGCGCCTTCGCAGTGGGGAAGCATGATGTCACCGTCGGACTATAATGCTTTCGGATTCCTACACGTAAGCAGTCTTAACTGTCTTCGGCGTGTTTTTCACCTTTTTTTCCGCTCGACGTTATTTTGTGAGGCTCAGTCGAAGGCACGCGTGTAGCTTTAACATTTAAAAAAGCACAACGTCTTCGTTAATTTTCCGCCTTTCCTCAACCCATCCGCCGGGTGGACGTGGTAATTTGGTGCATTCATGACACATAATGACATTTCTTGCATTAACATAAATGCAAAATTACGATCTTGGCCGACATCTCGAAAGAGGACAAGGAGCTCTAATTTGTTTATATTCATAAAGTTATGCCCACACTCTGTCTTGTGATTAGAACAAGATTTTTCCTCTAAAGGGCAATGTTCAGATCACGGATGTGGAATCCCTTGACAATTACCGAAGACCTGCTATAAAAGAAGTATGATGTATTCAGGGGCTTAATTTTAATGCGAATTGATTTTTTTAACTAGGGTGTGAGAGACGAGCTTTATCTTCACCATACATTTATCGGGCTCGCCGAACATTAGTTGAGGAGATAATCATGACGAATTACCTATAATTCCTTAATTAGCTTCTATAATTTTTGTTTTGTTTTAGGTATTATATTGGAATTGCCCTATTGAGAGACGTCTATTACTATTACAGGCCAGACCGATAGAAGTCAGTAGCAGATTGGTAATTCCTCTTATGATATGAATCGACCAAATTTCGAGCTTTTTCGCCCGTTTTAAGCATTTCGCTGAAAAAAGAGCGTAGCAAGCCATGCCCGCAATGACGCCGGAAAGGGTAACCTCGTCGTTTAAATCATGACGTCACTCTCTCGGCAGCTTGACCTGGGTAGTTGCAACGACGACACAAGTCACGACGTAGCAAGAACGACTACGTTACTTTTCCAAGCGTCATTGTTGGATTGGCTTAATTCCGCTTGATGCGTTTTTCTTTTTTCTTTTTTTTTGGAAAAAATTTTTTTGAATTGGAAAAAAAATTGCCTGAATATTAATAACGAAGAACTAATTTTTCGCAGAATCTTTCAATTGGTGTGGCCTTTCATAGTAATTTTCGTCAATACTGCAATGCCTATCTGACGCAGAAAAGCGAATAATATAACAGTTAATTAACCAACTAGTCAATTATACAAAGATATCATAACGAATATCTCCTCACCTAATGTATGCCGAGACTGATGAATATAAGGTGTCTAAAGAAATACAGGTTTTTTTAACTGCCAAATAAACGCTCATTCTTTGCCCAAACGTAACGCTCGTCGTCGGAGCCAAATGCCAAAGTATCAGCACTGCCTTTGTTTTATTCAAAAGATATGCGATTTTCTTACATTTTCAGTGCGAAAATGGCGGCCGACAGAACTTTCGAATACATGGAGCTCTATGGCGCCAGTCACTGAAAACGGGAGAAAATGGGCCCCATTTTTCGATTGAAATTTTCAGAAAACGTAACTTTTGCAAAAGATAACGGTAATTGCTGAAACTTTGCCATATGGTGCGAACCGCTAGCTTAACATTTTGGCGGAGAACGAGGGTTCGGCTGTGCGTAGTTTGTTTTTGCGAGGAAAAAACAGAACACATTTTGGGACACGCTGGAAATGGTCAAAACAGTAGTCATCTGACTCCCGCCTCGTTTGTTTTACATCTGTTCCAATTGAAATCAAAAGCCCTGTATATTTTTTCTTTACACAAGTCAACATGTTCTATCAGCACACCGGTATTTTCTGTAAAGCGCATCAACGAACAAAACAAAAATCCCGTCGGACACGGAAGGCATTCAAATTTAAAAGGTTTATTTCGTCTCCTGCGCGTGAACGTCCTGCTTCTTGCTCAGCGTTAAGCTCAACCCTCTGCCACCCGACCGAGCCTTGATAACTCCTTTCTGGAAAACCTTTTTCGTGTCGGCTTTCAAATGTAGGCACTTGTGGCTTACATTGTTGTCGCTTCTATGGATGAGGAAGGCCTCAACAGCTTCCCGGCACAGCTTTTTGGGGTGCCTTTTGATAGCCTCAGCCTTGCTATTCGGTTGTTCCCAGCCCTCGCATCCATTTGCCGTGCGTTCTCCTGCCTCTATTCGTTGACGTTTTTGTTAGGCGAATTATAATAAGCTATACTGTATAAAAAAAATAATAACCAATACCTTTCAGCAAAAAAAAAAAAATCTCTTTCGATAAGCTTTTAAGCTGAGCAAGCCCTGCGCGATGTCGACTTACGGACGGCCAAAAAATGTACGCAACTCAGTTCAGAGTCTTCCCTTAGTTATTTCTTTACTCGAATGTCGGCATCAATAATTACTCTAAAACAGCAATCGCGTGTATTTTAGCATACAACGCACAATGAAATAAAATACTCTATTCTAGGGAGCCCAGCGAGTGACGCTCAACAACTCAACAATGCTGCTGAGGCTTTTTCATTAAGCACTTGAAACAATATGCATGGCGTCCCAGTTTAGGCCGTATTCCAACGGCAAGTTTATTTTTGAACTTCGTCTTCCGCTAAGCTCCCTTGGTTTATCGCGCCTAATGGCTTTTCGTGTACTCTGTAATAAAGACACACTTTTAGAGTGTAGGCTGGGGCCAAAATGAGACAAACCTCCAATGAATGCACATCGCTTTTACATATTTTGCTTTTAACCTCTTATCAATGATCAAGAATACAACATGACATGCACTTGGTCTGGTGTTCACATCAATCAAATGCTTGTAGCAAATTAGCCTTATTTTTATTGATCGAGATATTCTATTTAACTGTGGTTTAAGTACGGTCATCGACAATAAAATACAAACAGCGGAGCGCGTGCCGTCCTCAGAGAGGCACTCTAGACCCCGGCAAGATTTGAGCTCACTTCCAGAAGATTGCGAGCCCAGTGCTTTGCTGACTGAGCTATGCAGTGTCGGTGGTACGGACCACACAAAAGCGACAGAGTTGTGTGGTCCGTACGACAGAAAGGTTGTGACAGAAAGGTTGTGAAAGCTTGCGCTTTCACAACCTTTCCTGTCATGCAGCACCTTCTCACGGCCTGTCAGGAATGACAGCAGATGTTCGGTAGGCAGTGCCGTTCACACGCTCTCCCTTCTTCCCTAGAAGGCCTATCGCACATTTTGTGCTTACCAGTCTTCGTCACCGTGATCAATGTTGCATAACTTGTTTCTGGCTCGCCACATATAATTGTAAAGGTCCTAGGCTTGAGCCAAAATTGAAGCCTAAATCTGGCTCTGGTTTGTGAATTTAGTCCGAGACATGCCAGGCGACAGTCAAACTACCAGCCGTGAAGCCGAACTTTTGACACTTGTTAGGATAATTAGGCTCCAAATACCGAGACTCTGGCCAAAGAAGATCAAGTTGGGCTCTTCCTTCGCTTCGTCGGACTTCTTAGGGCCCTAAATTATAAGACAAATGCCAAACTTCGGCCAAAATTGATGTGCTACCTGGGACCGTTTTTGCCATATATTTTATATATATTATCAAAATACTTTTGGTAATATATACGATTCATGAGAGAGCTATTAACCGGGGTGATAACTGTGACTGTGTACCTGATCGATTAAGCTACTGACAAGTCGATTAATGCTTTAATCGTGATTAAATTTTTAACCGGTTAATTTCTTGAAATTTGACACACACACGCACATAAAAGAAGAAATTCAACGCTTTCCTCTTAAATACGTGGATAAGAATACCCATATGAAGGTAAACATTTGGTGAAAATTTGACCTATAGTAGACTGTAGCGGCGAGATTTTTAACTGCAAACAAATGGAGAAGGTTCTACGGGTCCCAGTCATTTCAACGCCGTGCGAGTGTCCGTTAAGCGCAGTAGAGACTATTGTGAGCAATCAAGGGAGTTCTCTCTTGCCGGAGAATGTTAGAGGCAAAGAGATTCTCTTCGACTCTGCGGCTGAAGTAGTAAAATAATTGGTGAGCTTTAAATCAACACATGAAGGGTTGATTTAAGATATGAAATTGCAGGTTGCGCCGTTCATCACGTAATTAACAAAACCAAATTACTTTAAAACTTTGTTATGCATGGGAATGAACGTGACCGATTAATCAAGTATTTATTCGATTAAAAAGTTTCGATTAAATCTGTTAACAATTTTAATTGACGCCCAGCCCTACGTACTGTAAATACCACCTCTGTCCTGAATTTTTTCCAACAATGTTGAACGTTTGAGTGTAATATGTTTTCTTGTATGCCCAAAGTCACTGGTGAGGGTTGTTCTGTGCGAGAATTATCTCTTTTTTTATTTTTGTATGTCGTTTCCAATGAAGGTTTTATTTCACTGAATAACGGCAGTCCTGTCAAATGTGTTTAGAGACACAACGTGGCAACGTGGCTCGAATTAACGTTGTATTAGGAGAACATTAAAGAAACGACACCTACGAAAAAAAATATAAAAGAGCTTTCGAGATTACTATTGTGTTTGTGGAGAATAACATAGAGGACGAAAACCGGGCGACACGTTCTTCCACCTGGTAGCATGCATCTCGTTTCCAATGAAGGATTTATTTCACTGCTGCCAGTTGGAGAAACATGTCGTCCGGTTCTCCACAAACACGGTAACTTAACCAGCACGCTCCATTTCCACGAGGGATTACTATTTTTTGACAATGTAAAAAAATGGAAATTTATAATTGGCTTTTTTTGTCATGCTTTTGACACGTGTTTATGGATACCCATAGGCATAATAAAAATAATAAGTGAGATAACTTCCCCATTGACTCGCTAGCTTCTTTAAAACCACCAAGATGACCGCGTAGAAATGTCCACCAACGTAGTGTAAAACTTGATGGGTAAAGTCTGAAAATCGCATCGTTTTTTTCAGGATCGTATTCTTGCCTCAGGGCCGACTTTGCATACGAAAGAGTACCGCACACCACGATGATTAAGGTCTTCATACCCTGCGCGATGCTCGTGCTGCTGTCCTGGATACCGTTGTGGCTCAATCCGAAGGCCACCTTGCTTCGGTTCCTTGTTCCGCTGCTGGTACTGCTTGCAATGGCAAACGCTGTCAACACGCTCAACCAGCACCACATTCCTCAGACCGGATACGTGAAGAGTGTCGATGTATGGACCGGAACCTGTCTGACCTTTGTGTTCGCCATGCTTCTGGAAGTCACCACTGTCGACTACGTGCTGAGGGTTTATCGCAAGGACCAAGATAATTCACCATTGAACACTGGTGATGAGCTGGCTGTATCCCATACACTCGAGATCGTAAGTTCTAGGTCTTTCATTTGACTCTTAGGTAATGCTGGAGCAACTATTGCTAGGGCTTGTTAACATGAGATCCTTCCGTGTTGAGTCTCGTTACTGGTAATGCTTTTTTAAAGCAATAATGGGCATCCAGATATGATGCATTTAAGAATGACTATTACACGAATATATGTATTCAAAACTTTAAATCTAATTGCGGGAGATATTTAGCAGGTGGCTTCGGTGGGCCCTTTAAATATACAAGGTGCGACACTATGATCTGGCCCAACAGGACACCACCAGGAACAATGAAAATCGTAAGAGCGATAAGCCGTTGGGAGTAAGAATATAACAAAATTCTGCCAACTCATGCAGAGGGAGTGTAGAACTGACAAGCTGGGCATCTGCCGTGAACATGAAATGTATGTGTAACTTTGAGCAAAAAAATGTATATATATTGTTGTGCGGCTTTTCGAGATGCTGCCCCAGCTCAAATCCACGGCTCGACAAGACATTCCGTGTATAACGGTGTATAAAGTTGACACAGGATGTGTGGATACTTAATAAATGTTTCAACCTCCCGGAGCGTGTACACGGATTCGCGCTGTCCTTTATAGTTTCGCTCCGAACGGTTTATGGCAATAGGGCACACCATGGGCGAGATTTCTAGCGCTTCTGCCGTCTTGGTTTTTGTGCTGATTCCCTGTAACGCACACCATTCCTCCTACTGCAAATTGCAGTAAATTACTAAACGACAGTTGCGAGGAAACAAATAAAACGATCGGACATTGTTGCGATTATATAAGGGGATTCAGCAGGTACATGTTAATTTGTGTCTTACATACATATTTTTCTGCTGTTTGAACGGGGTAATCACAAAATTAATAAGAGCACACGTTCTTTAGGATGATTGAAAAACTAAAACTCCCGACATCTGACACACAAGACTTATAGTAGGATGATACACCGTAGTTCGTGACAATCTTCAGTTGCTTGGCTTCGCACCCGTTGACAAGGCTTTTTACCACACTAAAGTTTTTTTTTTTTAATTAATATTGTACCGCCACATGTGTGGAACTTAAATTTTCCTCACTGTGTGCAAAAGAAGTTTCGTGGAGTTTTTTTTTTTCTTGGCCTCTTCGCAGTCGAGTGAGATGTCAAGGCGTGGGGAAGTGGACATTATACCCATTGACCAGGCTTTCACTAAAGTAGTTTTCGTACACTATGCCAAATTTAAGCAAAATAGTTGAATAAATAACAAGTTGTGATTAATGAATTAATTTATTACGCATACATACACGGCGTTTCTCAGAGTGTCTCGTGCACTTCGAGCGCCAAGCTGTTTCAAATATAACCATTTCAACACTGAAAAAAAAAAAAAAGCGGCGCGATGTTTAGACCACAAAGCGATATTTCACAGTAGATCAGAAAAATCCATTACAAAGTTCAGACACTGAACCAGGCCAGCCCGTAAATGTTCTTGCAGCAGATATAAAAGATCGAGCGTTGGTCACTTTGGGGAGCTCGAAATGGAAAAGAACGTTTCTCCCGCAGGCTGACGGCAAGACCGATGCTTCGGCGGCACCTACTCACCGGTCAACATTCTCCAACTGGCTGAGGAGACGAAGGTCCGCCGTCGAGTGGATCGACCTGGTCTCTCGAGCAATTTTCCCAGCTGCATTCGTTCTGTTCGTGATCATCTACCGCTGCTGTTACACATCGCACGAGTAATGCCATGCTATAAGTTTGCTTACTTACAACATATATGACTCGACCTTGTCGACCTCGAGCATTTTTGTGTTCTTCCGACAAGCTGTCTTGCACTTGATTTGTTGAGTTTTACCACTACTATGTCCCCTGTTTGGCCTTTGTGGTTCGGCGTGTATTTTTAATGTGAGCTGGGTTTTGTGTTGATGAGCTCTTTTGGTTTATAAACAATGTTTCCGGTAGTGTATTCTTGGGTCTATGCATGCAATATACTGAATATATTTATAAACTTTCGTAGTTTGGAACGTGCATTTTTACTAATTTTTCCTGAAAAAGGGACATTAATTAAATATCTAAAGTTATAGCGACTCCTAAACAAACGTTTGTGCAAGAATCCTTTCTGCTTATTTTCACTCCCAGAGACGATTTTCTACCTGTTAGAATAAGAAGTCAAAATACGTATTTCTTGTACTAAAATGTCACACCAACCATGCAAGGTATACAAGCCACTGGAATTATTGGTTACCTTCGATAAAACATCATTTGAGGATTGTTTAACAGAATTATGACTTGTCCTCGCTCTAAGAAATCACTTCGCGTCTTCTTACCCAAAAAACACTCGAAGAGCCAATCTCTGAGATCTACAAAATCGGCACAGCGAACGATAAGCTTTTGTTTAGACCTCAAAATTAAAGTCAGCGCTGTTGCCTTACGCAAAGCAAGCATGACGCTTTGCATTGCGCAATGCCACTGCTCAGACTTTATGTTTGAGTCTAAGCGGATGGTCTGCCTAATCATTCGCTGAGCTGATTTCGCAGATCACAGAGATTGGCTTTTTGAGGTTTTTGCGGGTAAGTAGACGCGAAAGTATTTCTCAGAGTGCTACAACGGGAAAATTTGTTCCATCTAGAAAGGTCAATCAAATGTCACTTGTTTGGAATTTCGCTGTGATATAAATAATTAAACAAGGACATAAGGTGTGAACAAGTTATGATGTCAGTGCATTGGTATAACTTGTTATCCCGGACAAAATGAAAACATTACATAACCCGGAGGAGAAGACACGAAGCTGCAAAAGTAGTTGGTAAAATATTTTACAAGTTTCCTATGGACCTTGAAGAAAGCTACATATCTGCATCTTACGGCACCACTAGGTTTCTTTTTACTTTAACTTATATGAGGAACTGGGATGGTCCTTGCCATTTAGATAACTGGTTACGTTTTGCTAAAAGATTCAGGGATTTGTTTGCTGAAAAGTCAAGATTCTCTTTAAATGGTTATCCACCCGGGTGAGACTCCTCAGGATATTTTTGTTTCTTTCTTCTGCCGACTTTATCGCCTTCCCTTCGAGCTTCGTTAACTATTTGCGATGGTGGTGTTTGAACTATGGTATTGCAATTAGGAAGTCCAACGTGAAATAATGTTACGCTGATTTTTGAAGAGATAGAAAGCAAAAGAAAGTGTCTTGGAAACTATCAGCGTCCCCTGAGGGACCCTGTGTAATGAATACGGCTTGTGAAATCATCGGTTGCCGCTTCAAATGGAAGACACAACGCAGCGGCAACGCCTTAGACGGGAATCAAGTGAGACAAAAGACGGCTTGAGGAGCAAACGTTCTTCATTGAGCATTCGGGTCGCTCGTTAAAGCGTACGTTTTAGTTATACGTCAGTTTTTCTTGCATCTAAAAAATAATCATTTCTACGTACGTTACGGGTTATAATTCTTCTGAAAGAATATTACAGGCGCCTTCACCAGAAATAACAATGGTAGTTCACTTGCGATGTACATAACAGAAACACTTTTTTCACTTCTTTTTTTTTATTAACAGTAGTGGTGTCACCTCGACAGAATATCTGCGTATTTATTTGTCCGTACATGCTAAAAAGTGGAGAAAATCAGACTGTACAGGATACGATTCTTCATTACAGTCATGCTCCTCAATCTCCTTGGCTTGTTTTATCCTACAAATGACACTCACTTGCTTCAGAGCACATGGCTTCGGGTTTGCGGGAACAAAAGACGCTTTTATGAATGAAACAAAATTGTTTGGATTCATACTACTCCTCTAGGAGACCATTCACTGAGATGTGAGCATCCTCTCTGACCCCAATCAGTAGTGTCAAAACACAGGGCAGCATTCTACGCCGAAACAATCGAGGGCTCTCGGAGTACGGGCTAGCATACTCATTTCGATCAGTACACCACGATGTCATATCCATGCAGTAGAACAGTCCTGAGTAAAGACACCTCCTCCATCACGATCGGTGACAACTATACAGAACGTGGACACTACCTCGCCAAAAAATTATACTTGTGACACTCACACACGCACCTCATGTGCTGTCAAAAAACATCACAGCACACGAAACGTATGTACATGAAACCAGGTGACAAACACTCGCATAAGCATTTTGAGCTACGCATATGTACAACAGTGACTGTGGACCCTGCAGTTTAGTACGGACCTCCCATCACGTCGGCTGGGTTAGGGCACGTGACCGAGCATCTATTCACAAAGAGACGAGCACGAAAAACGAAAACCAACAAGACGTACAAGAACGACGTTACCTATATACAAATATACCATGCGCGTGCATGCTATATACATGCATAGATGCACGCTTCTTGATTTTTCAAAGTGCGGTACAACTTGGCCCCAGAATGATTAGGTTGGTTGCTGGCTTGCCATGTTTCCCGTGCACGACATATGAGAGACGCCTCGTAAGGAAAGGAGGGGGAGACGGGGCCAAGCGTTCCGACACTTTGGACGCAAACCGAACGACAGGTTAGTATGCGCGTTCGACTTAAAAAACAAACAAACATGGAGTAACAAGGGGACTACTTTCAAGTAAACACGTCGTGTAAGTCACGCCGCAACGATACCGTGGAAGAAGTTGATCTTTTCTATGTTGACCCAGTCACACCACTGTCTTCCGGCCGACCGATTTCGTGCTCATATCTCTGCACGCTGTTCGTCCTCGCTACAAACGGTGTCGATATGTTAATGCGTACCACGAAATATATTAGGTGAGCTGACATAAAAAAAAATTGTAGAAATTAATTTAGTTAATTTTTGTATGCATTTTTTACGAATTAAACCATTTTATTTTAATCGTACTTTTTGTAGAGCAAAAATATTGAAAAAGGTAGCCTTCGCAATTTTACTGTGTTTCAAATATGAAGATAAGGTCGTAAAAATGACTGCCGTGCTTTTGTTGCAGCCTCTATTGTAGATAATGTAAAACATCGGGAATCGCTAATTAACATGAGAGACACCGTTGAAAAGGATCCGCATTTCACTTCTACGTTTCTCAGCATAAAAAAGTCACAGCCCAACTGAGGCAGTGCTCAGAGGTACACAATGAAGTGTCGCGAGAGCTATTGCAGCCCACAGTTTGAGAACAGTCTTGGAAAAAACGTCCACGAACCGTTCATAATAAAGACTAAGCCACCAGAAAAGCAGACAGTCAAACAATTGCTTGCACTCACGCAACATACACAACTGAACGTGCAACCGCCCTTGATGCCTCCCCTAGAAAAACTCACAGCACAATACGAGAGGTTGTTCACATCTCAGTAGGGTTCGGGGTCGTAGCGTGCACTTTTGTCATATAGACGGAACTAGACTTTCGCACTTTTTATAGTTTTAGTGCAATACTCTAGGCCTCGCATGACAGCTTAGCGTGGGACGGCACTACCATAGAGCATTGTGAAGGATGAACCAAACCGATTACGACAAGATTCACTTCTGCTAGAAACACACGGTATAAACACATGACCCTAGGGACAGCGAGGTGGCTTCTGGAACCACAGGATGGGGAGGATATGGAAGCTTTAAAGACTTTGTCGGATGCCTAGACGCTGTCACTATCTAAATTTACCGCTACGACTTTGGGAAAATTCGCATATAGCAGGAATCGCAGTAACGTTGTTATGGTACATTTCGTTCTTTTCTGGTTTACGTGGTGCGCGCGTGCCAAAATAAAGATTTCGGCGGTTTTAAAAATTTTAATGTCTAGGATTGCGCTTTTGCTAAGCCCGTACACAGAGTAGGTACATTACAGCCTAACTTTAGTGGTGTTCGAGGGATCAAAATAAAATATTTAATAAATGTATTCACTTAAAATTATGAAGACAAAAAAAGGGTTATTCTCGTGAGCGTGCATCTTCACAAGTTTTGATAAATTAGTGCGCGTACTACGAAGTTTCGAGGATTAAAAAAGGGCCATACGCCTATATAATAATCATGTTTTGTGTAGGAATATGCTGCTGTATATAATCTAATAAACGAACGCTATGCTTTTGGTGGTACAGATTGCAAAACTGTCAGCGCTCATGCACACACACAAACAGCAGAAAGTTCATTCAGAATATCATTTCTGAAATCCTGCGTTGGTTTTTCGCAGTCGGCGTTTTCGAGGACTTAGAAAGTTGCTCGTTAAGATAGACAAACACGTTGCTGTGCTTTACCACACCCTCCAGGACAGCTTTTCGTTTCGAAACATTGGCGGCGCGACTCAACTGACGACAAACAGAAATGGTGAAGTGCGAGGCGTGGTGCGAACGAGTGCGTCGGCCAACAGTCGAACGCGGACACCTCACACAAGTGACACAGCACAAGTGACAAAGCAGCGACGGGGACCGCCATGACAGCCACTACTGGAGGCGGCGCCTGGTGGCTGCGAAGTGTTCGACGACGATGACGATGGGTGTTTCTCTTTCTGGTAACGTACGTGTTCAGTCACTCATCTTCCTTGTCTTCCCGGAAGAGATAGGTTGTCCAGTAGACGAGGTTGAAGAGGGCGAACATGAGCGGAAAGAAGATCCGCGAGACGACGTCGATGCGTTTGGATCGTGTGGGAAACTTGGAAAGCCAGGCTTTACATAGGTTGGTCTTGGGTGTTTTCATGTGGACCTCACACTGCCGGAGTTTGTCGGCGTGCATGTCTCCGTGATGGTGGACGAGGGGCTTCTGGAAGGAAGACCCGTTGTGTGATTAGGAGCCCCCAGACAGACATCGGGTTGTGCACTGCGCTCAGATTTGTAAATGCCCGGGACACCGAGGAGTCTGAGGCATCCAACGGGTGCTGAATTCGGACACCAAACGATACGGTTTTACACCCTGACCAGAGCCACCACAATAGCGTAGTCTGCGTCAAGGCCAGACTGAAAATGCAAGGCATTAAATCCACTTGGTCTGCAGTCACCGACAAAATGAGGACGGCAATGTGTCGCTTTCGGACGCTCAAGCACGCGCTCCATGTCTTCTGCCGTGCTTTGGCTACGTGGCCGCACTCGAATGCATGGGACGCTGAATCGCGGTGGAAGGGAAGAAGCACACGCTGGAGGTGAGATTACTGTTGCTCCTTCATGCCGTCCTTTCCTTGTCAGTGACAACAGAAACTACACACAATTACGTTTAAAATGGTTATATTTGATAAATAACATATTACCAATAGTCGTCTTCAGAGACAGTCAGATGTCAAAATCTATTTTTAGTTCAAAACCCGTACGGCCGAATATCGATGCTTGATATACTGCAATGGACCTTTTCCGAGAAGCGTTCTGCGCACGCGCGAGCGCCCGATGCCAAGCGGCGGAAGTCGGAACGAAACATCGAGGAAATTCGGAAGGAGGCTGTATAACAGCGAGTAGAACACGTAACTGCAGCACATATATAATTGTGTTACACAAAAAGAGAACGTCGACGCAAAGGAAAACACGACGTTTGGGTGGACGCCACGGATGCTCCTCTTTCAAGTCATGTTGGGCAGGCGCCGCTGCTCTGAGAGCGAAGAAACTGGTAGCGTAGCTCCCATTATCGATTGGTAGCCCAGGTAGGTCACTTCCTCGATTTTTAGTTAGTGCAGCCACCGCCTGGTGCCGTCGGTATGGGGAAAAGGTCCATTGTTTTTATGCAGTTTGCCTAAAGGAAAACTGAAGCGGTTTTTTATTTGAATAAAAAAAACTTAAAGGGTTTTTATTTGGCGTCCAGGATCACGAATATTGAGATTATTTTTCAATTAGGTGCACAGGGGCTGCAGAAAATTATTTTCAAAATACCGCTGAGGCCTCCCCGCCCCGGAGCGCTACGTCATAAAAGAAGTTTTTTTAATCTCTGCTATCGCGCTTATTCAGCGCCTCATCAAAGCTATGCACGAGCGCTTGTCTTTATTTTTTTTAAAGGTTAACGAAAAGACGTCACAACTGGTGTTATTGCGGAAGAATATACTTGGCAAACTTGCAATTGCACGGACTGCCCAAACGAGCGACACGCCCCTGTCTGCCGAAAGATCCTTTTATTACGTAACAGCCGGTTCGAGGTTTCTCGTGTTTTCTCGTGTTTAGTTACATCTTCGAGAAAAATGAACGAGATATTCAGATTTATGAAATAAAAATACTCTAGAGTCCACCTGTAACTCGTTTTTTTTCTAGAACCTCTTCAGCTTCCCTTTAACGGAATGTTACTCCTGTTGCAAGCAAGCCAAGAATTGAGAGTGTGGTTTAGCATTATACTAAGCTTATCATTGTATTGAAGACGGGGGAATAATAATTTTAGTGTGGTAAAACATGAACCCGGCAATGAAGTGCAATAAACCGGGCAGGTCCCCAATCTGGTCTGACATATCGAAAGTATTATATATTCGCAACTCTAACTCACACTTAGATTTATTTAAGAGGCCTGTTTAATAAAAACGTCATTCTTTAAAGATTATCTAGAACCAATCGCAGTGTGGCAATTGCCATTACAGTCTGCCTCACCCTATTTTTTAAATAATGGTAATTTTTATTAACAACAATCGTATTAACTAAAGGGAGAGGGAGACTGTGGTTTAGAAACGTATCAGTGAACCGTACTTAGCAAAGGCGCTCTCAGACCTAATCAATAAACCTGTCATAGTCTTCGTACCCAATTCTAGGGCCCGAAAATATAGTGGACCAAGATACAGTCTGCCTAGGAAAACATTTCGTTTAATCTTGTAACAAAGCAAGTGTAACTTCCCAGTAGTCTGCCGAACACTACGTAACGAAGTCCCCCACTCCCCTTTCTTTATGAATTTGACGATTTCAACATCTACGCGGACGTCTAGGGCAAGCGCTCACCATGGCGAAGGTGGTAGTGCCATCCTCGAGATGGTCCGATTCCATAGGGGGCTCCAGCTCCCATTTCCTTTTTTGCTTCTGCATGTTCTGCCGGTGTGACTCTGACCGTGATGCATAATTGACGAGGGCAAACTCCAGCAGTGCGCCGAAGACGAAAGTCAGACAGACGCCGGTCCACACGTCAATGGCCTTGGTGTAGGAAACGGGAGGCAGAGAGGCATTGATGCCTGAAATCTGCGTCGCCATGGTCAGCAGGGTGGTCACCCCCAGGGATACGCGAGCCGGGATCGAGGTTGGGTCCAGCCAGAAAGACACCCACGATACGATCACCAGCATGCAGCACGGAATGTAGATCTGAATCAGGTAGTAGCTGAACTCGCGTTTGAACACCAGGTCCACGCGCAGGCAGCTGTAATCTCCTGCAATAGGAACACGCAGAGCTTGTGTAAGATCACTGAATGACACATAGAAGGATTCTTTAGCATAATGATTTGGGTCTCCTCTCGGCTTGTCTGAAAAGGACAGTGAAGGGAGTTTCAGTGTTTCATCTTTTGTGCTAGAGATTACAATAAATCTATTCATGAACAGCCTCGAGTTAGATTTAATTTAGACACTTGAACTAAATTTGAAATAAAATGGTTGTATAGGAAACAGGACTGTAACGTTTTAGTAACCTGTAGGTCGGCGATCTAGTGGCTTTTCAGATGTCATCCATCCCTTGCTGAGAGTGTCAGAAAAAGTTACAGTTTTACTGTTTATGATTCCCGGGTATGTTTGGGTCGTCTATTTTCTAAAACATTATTTGTGCAAAATTTAAAAAAAAGGAAAATAGTTTTAATCTCTTTAAAAAAACAAAAGATAACAGCATAAACTGACTTTTGTTTTGTTTTTGTTTTTGGTACCGGGAGTATATTTCAAAGGAAGCCAGAGACTGAGGCTGCGAAGTCCGACGAGGCCCCTTTTTTCAAGCCCTTGATGACGCATATCACACTTTGCGTTCGCATATGCACTCAAAGAAGCAGATCTCTACGGAGATCCATTTGCAGGAAAACAAACGAAAGTAAAGCTACCAATGAAAGCGCCGACAGACTGTACTGGCGTTGGAACATATCCTTTAGAAGTCCTCAAAATATTCGAACGTGCGATTACTAATACAACCTACCTATATGTTTAAAACTGTAACAAGTATATAATATAACCGAATGTTTAATCTTCCCGTAGTATTTGGCAGACAGATAAACTTTAAAGAAGCATAACATTAAAACAAAATATGGCACTTATAGGTCCATAACACGCTCGTTGACATGATGCGCATGTCAGGGTGTAAAATAATATTCAATATTTTTTTTATATCGTGGTTTAAGTCAGAAGAGTTCTATGTTAATTTAAATGAAACCTTTTCCGTTTCCCTTTTTATGTTGTCTACGTGCATTCGTTTTGCACTTAAATGAAATAATTATCAAGCAAACATATATTTATATATACATAAAACTCAACACGAGAAAAATAAACTGCTCTTCTGAACAAATTGGAAAGTCGGGCTTCATTTCGTCCTCCACTTCTTTCGTCCGCGACGTAACGTCCTATTGCAACAAAATCAGTACTAAAAATAAAGAAATAAAAACAAGAAAAGTAATGTCTTATTGTAATAAAGTCAAAACTCAAGATGAAAGTAGAACAAATATTTTAACCATGTAAATCAAACTGCTTTTGTTGTAGTTAGCTGAAATTACAGCAACCAAAAGTTGCTAATAAAACTGCTTTACATTTACAGTAATTCTTTCTTCCGCATTGTTCTCAGGGATGTGACAAAATGATCAATCACTCAGCCATGTTAACATTACATCTAGTGGTAAAGATTAACTATTTTAGCTACGAATATTTAAATCAAATTAACCTACTCATATCAAACAAATCTGATCTAAATAATACAAATCTTATTTAAATAAAAAAAATGTGAATTGAATAAGATAAGTGTAATTTAATATAAATAAATACAAATTATTTGATTAAAAATATATCTTGTCCTACCCTATTCCGTTTATCTTATGTTAAATGAAATTTCATTGCTTGACAACCAGTTGAGCCATGAAATTTGTTCCATCAGTCACTTAAACCATCGGGGTTAACAAGCAAGGTAACCAAGCTTCACTTCTGCTAATCAATTCGAACGTCAAAAAGACGTCGTCAACTTAGCTTCTGCTGCCCAATATTTGAACATCAGAAAGACGTACCTGTGTTCGTGCGGCTGGTGCAATAGTCAGTCTGAAACCTCTCAAGGGTGAAGCGTGGTAGGTGGAGGTTCTTGGTCACCTGCACAGGATCTCCTTCTTTCCATAGGAATACCAGGTCCTCGGTCGTATACCCATCTGTGATCAGTGTGCATCCGTTTATCCTGAGCACAACTCTTTTTAGGCCAAATTATTAGAACAAATGTTGGTAGTGCAAAGTTTGCTTTTAGACATTTTCTTAGCTAACAACACGAGATAACAAAGAAGATAAAACACAAAGGCACACTTACAGCTCACCATGAGGATGGAGCAGATTTGCTTATCCAAAGGATAAAATTTTAGGTTCATTGGACATGATAGCACCAGCGATATTCTGAAAAGGAAAGATGGGAGGTCATTTAAACACACACCCTTTTCAGTAGACAAAATAGGACATATTGTCAACACCTGACATTGTGATATCATGTGAGGCCATGATTGACATCGAAATATCACGGCACAGGATACATTTACATCACGTGACTAGCCTACAAATTTAGGTTTCACGTGATGTCAAGTCATAAGCCGCGTGTCTGTTCACACCTCTTAGCTCCAGAGGTGTGTAACACCTTTGATGTCACAATAACAGAGCGCAGCTCTAAGCCTATTGCACATTTGCTTCTCCCAACTTTATTAACAAAAGTAAGGTGTACAAATATTTGTTCTAATTCAATTGGTAATTATAAGTTTCCCAGCGTCGCGTACTTTTCCTGTGATTTATAGATTGTTTCTCGGAGTATACAAATTGATGTTACCGCCAAAAGTTAAAGATTTCTTTGCTGGACCTTCAAGGTGACATCATATTATATTATACAGTATTTATGATTGGTTAAGGTGAATATATAACCACCAGAATGCCTATAATTTTTTGACGCAATGGGACTTTTGCCATGGTTACGCCTTCATGCTTTTAGTTATAGAAGTGAGCTCTCGTGCGCATGCAGGACACAATGTATGAAGTCTGGACCTCTTTCACCGGAATGTATACAATCTCGCACAATATGAAAGACCCACTGGGACCGCGTGGCCGACACTGCGGTGGGCAGGTGCGCTGCGCGCTGCGGGCGATTCCATTCTGCCTTGAGGGGAGGACAATCACTCAAGGCCGAACCGCGCCTGTAAGCACTTAACAGTTTTTGGCTTCGGTTTAGGGGAAAAGCGCGCTTCATCGTCGCCAGGCCAAGATATATCGTCACGAAGGCTCGAAAGAAGCACAGTCCTGACAGGTTTTTAATTATTGTTTCAGGTGTAAAAGGTCAGAATAAGCACTGCTAAATACATAAATACAACAGTTAGGCCTGAGTCCTATACTATAATAAAAAAAAACATGTTGAAGAGTGCATTCATTTGTGAAAAGGATGGCACCGATATCGCGCTTTAAAAAATACAGAATGATCGCCTTGGCTGTGGCAGGTCTCTCGCAGGCAGAAATTGTGACGTCAGTAGGACATAACCGCGGCATGGAGTTGAGGAACTGATTTTCGCCATGAAACGGAAACTAAAAACAGACAAGGGCGCGATACGGTTTAGTTAAGCCCCGTCGTCAGTGGTTCCTCCCGTGGGGGCAGAATGGAATCGCCCGGAACGCGCTCAGCACCTACGCCATCCGCCGTCTCTGCCATACGCTCCCATTGGGTTTTCCATGTTGCAGGCGACTGCACATTTTATTCCCTTAAAGTGACTCTCGATGCTGAATCATAATAGAATATACTCTAAGGAACTCTGAACATTTACTTTTCTGCAGTGCGCACAGACAGCCAATCATTAAACGCATTATAAGATAAAACACAATGGCCAATGACAAGCACACTCTCAAAACATCTTCGATCAACTCGCACTAAAATTGCCGTCAAACCAAGAGTGTGCACAGAGCTCCTCGGTCGTTCAGCGTGAAGTTGGTGCAACACCGAAGACAAACTGCGCCACGCTCGTTCACCACGGCAAGCGCCACCATGCGTGACCTCGCGCTTTGCGATTTCCCTCATTTACTATGCTTGGGAGAAGAGCGTGTTGGTTTAAGTCATGGATAAAGAAAGAATAAAACAATTAAAACAGGGACAACACAACCACATCTCTCATGTGGTTGTGTTGTCCCTGTTGATGTGGTTGTGTTGTCCCTGTTTAAATGTTTTATTCTTTCTTCGTCCATGATCCCTCATTTACTTCGGTCCTTATGGTGTTCCCAGTGATTGGCTACCTGTTTGCTCAGCAGAAAAGTGGAACGCGCTGGTTGTTTTAAGCGTGCATGGTGACAGACGTCTTCCCGATAATGGGGTGCCGCCAGCTACGAATCTTTTACTATCATTGAGCACTCTAACGTGGTCACTGAGTGCTTAAAAAAGGCAAGGCGTGGCGAGTCCCGTGCAACTTATTAGTGCTCTGCGGCCAGTGAGATTGTGGCATGCGCCGGTAGGAAGTCCATTTAACCAATCACGAAGCAAGGACTGTGAACATAATGAGCATCGCCCTACATTTCTCTCGCTGTAATTGACTATGGAATCTAACAACTCTTGACAGAAACACCTAAAAAAAATCGCTTTTCTTTTTTTTGGACGGCAATAAAACATGTTTCGTACAACAACAAGCACTATTTCTAACTTCAGTCTTGAGACTGCTGTACAACGGAGGCGCATTACGGTAGAAATGCATTGTGATTTATGCAAAATATACTGTGCTCCACTGTGCCCCAACATGTGTCTTATGGTACCTGACACCTTAAAAAACGCAGGGCGTGGCCTAAAAACATGGGCGATGCTTACGCTTCGCCTTTAACAGCGGAACGCGATAGCGTTATTCGCGACTCCAGCGACCTATAGGGGGCGCCACCACCAAACAAACATGGCGGCTGGGTCCAGGTCGCATCGGCTCGGCCGGGCCGCCTGAATGGGTGGTGCATTCAATTTAACAGATTTTCTTTTGTTTAATGCCGAATTTTATGGGTATTTGAACTGAGACGGTTAAGTGTAGCCGGTGCGCATAAACTTGCCGAGCATAGTTTTGTTTTGCCGGTGTTTTTTGTTCTTTTCATGCCAAACTTTCGTTTCGGAGACTTCGTTCAAAACCGAAACTATGGACTCCGGAGAAACGGTAATAGACTCTAATTAGTTTTGATCATCTAAGGAAAGCGGCGAGGGCTACAAAATTGTTCCACCAAGAGTAATTTTTAGCTAACTCGCATGCCTCGACCATGCGACTTATCTGTGCGCGAAATTGAAATTTTGTGCGTGTCCGCGTTTCAAGAAACAGCTCCAGTCATGTGCTCGGTCAAGAACACAGGTTGCAGGAAAATTACGAAAATTAAGCAAGCGCTTCTTGAGCCAAGGAGCATGTTAACCCGCTGGCGCTTCACTAAGCAGCTGATACTCGTATTTCTATTCAGGGTTTAGTAGCAATCGAGGCCATTTTGACGAATATGCGGATTATGTATTATATTACGTAATATGTCCCACTAAAGCGATATTAATATATTCTTTGGGTTGAAATAGGAACCTAGTTGACTAACTATTAGGTGAACTGCTGAGTAAAAGTATATTTGACAGACAGAGAGATACTACTTAAACTTAGCCAAATGGTTCTAGCCGGTAGAACGGAGACGAATGCGGACAAACTGAGGAGAGTCTTCATCAAAGATTCACTCAGACCTCTCTGCATTGAACTTGACTTCGAATCCTAAACGGATAAAATGAGTTTTTTTTTTTTGGTCGGTCAACCTGAGCAATGTAGACGTATATTGCTGCTGGCTTCGACAGGGGTTATAATATAAAAATTGGAGGCGTGATAAATCCTAATGACGTGACAGCTTCTAACTTTGCGAGACGCGCCCCCCAACTTTTGAAAGCAGACAACTTCCCTCATTAATCATATGCAGCGAGCAGGTTTTCTGAATCAAGTAATTGCGAAATTTGCCCAACTCCTTCAGTGTGGTCTTTTTCGGCGAAAAGCAGCCAAGGTGAATAGCCAACGCACCGGCCGGCGTTAGAGGTCAAATTAACTTGAAGCTAATTGAGCACAACCAAACTTAAGGGAAGCAGCTATCGAACCTTCCCATTCACTTGACTGCAACATTGGTGTGCCCTTCAGTGAAACACTTCGTCTGCCGACCTCAGTCCACTGTTCTACAACCTTATAAAGAAACCACTTATCAGTTACCAAGCAGTCGTCACTTTGAATGTGATCAGAGACACACAAGAAATTAAAAAGTTTTTCCGTGATTCCTCCCCATCCAAAAAATTGAAAGCACGCAACCGTGCGTTCAGTAAACGGGCTTTCAAACACGTGATGGAAAGCAACAATCTACTGAGGCTTCACCACACTAATGAACACTGAGGCAAACTTAAGAAATTTTCGGACCTTCGTCAAATTACTTTGCTCGCCCCCGCGCCGACAGGGCGACAGCACGTGTCCGCGAAAGCCACCAGACACGCGGCGGGGCGCGGAGCGACCTGGACCGACTGGTTTTCTGTTTTCCCGCTTGGCGGCGTCCGTTTTGCTGGAGTCGCGAATAGGGCCCCGTTCGCAAAGAGTCCTCATAAACCCGCGCTCGCTCCCAAGCCGAGCAAGCGTGTGTGCATGGTCTAGTAGGTAGCGTCACACGACGTCACGTCTGACGTTATGTAACGTTATGCGCGACGTCACACGTGGCTGTAATTCCACGTCTCTATTGACCCGCTAAGTTTCGCGTAAAAGTTTTCGCTAAAATATTTGTTCCTGCGTTTAGCGTTGTGTTTCCTTCTTCGGCATTCTTAGTGAAACATCTTGAAAATTCTTTGGTTGAGGGGTGATTGTGAGCTGCTCGGGACGCAGCGCTTCTTAAGCTATCTATGGTCAGTTCTATATTTATATTCTATGAACATCTTAACACAAATCACCCTTATTACATACTGTATGTTATAATATAAAATTAAATGTAAGGAGAGTAACTTATAAAATTTATTGGTACTATTGTATTAGCTCAAATAATTAATGGATATTTATAATAATTAATGTTCCGGTGTAATTCCGTATCAAACACATTCCTAAACATTCCTTTTTTATATATGTCAAAAAAATAAAACAATCTTCCTTAAAAGGACATGACTACATTTAACCTCAGTAGAGGCCACACTGCGCGAGCACAAGAAAGAAATTATGCTACATGGAGATTCAGGGCTGAAAAAGACATGGCCCCTTTGGACCTATGATCCTCAACATAGGGGGTAGGAGGCGTGCCTGATGCTGAAGAGGACATCCCCGTTGGGGTGGATCCGTAGCAGAACATTTGGCATGATGATGTTGTGAAAGTGGCCCTCCTTCTCGTTGGAGAAGAACAAGTCGGGTTTCCAAAGCTTGTCAGGTTCTGTGAGCGTCAGGTATCGGACCTGACCACCCAGATCGTCGTATTGGAGTCGCTCATCCCGCCACTGTTCTCTGAACGTCATTTGCACTGTGTACTCCTGAAAACCGTCAATGAAGCAGTCAGTCACACAAACTACAAAAATATAACTCTATTTGAACAATAAAAAAATATCTATATTTTTGCGACAGTTTTCATTTTAATACTGTTTTAGGCTTGAAAAGCAAACATAATTCGTGTAGAGCTCAGTGTCTGATCACACTTACTACGGCACAGAGTGTATACCCGATATCACAAGCTGGCTTCGCAAACTGATGCAATTTAGTAACGTGTTGCTGATCTTAGGACTTTCTTTAAGTCTTTCTCTACAGCTAAGAAGAGCTTGGCACTTATATCAAGTTTAACTTAACAATTTTGATCGATATAAATTCCTTTTAATACATGTATTGTATATACATAAGGGAATATGTCATTCAATATGATAATTGCAAAACTATGACACAATAAACTTTAAAACAAATTAAAGCTGCATTAACATGTTTGAAAACGTATTATTATTGCCTATCTACGAGTAATCTGAAAGATATGATTAGTTGTAAATCATATTAAGCAATACTTTTTCTACATTTCCCATGAGTTTTGAGTGCTGTGAGACTTTTCTAATATTCAAAGTTGATACAACAGCTCAGATGAGTTATATAAGACGTAATCAACTGCCATTCAGCATTAACCTTCTCAGATATAATAAAGAAACATATTTTTAACACGTCGCATTCTTATTTTAGTAGACAAATATAACGAAAAAGATAATATTCTTTATTTTATAGTGATTCAGTAATGACTTTCTCACAAGCCTTCAGCTTTGTTGACGAGCAAGCTTGTGTGTTCGTTCGACAATACGTCCCTGGAATGTAAATTAATTGTTTTCGTACAGAGAAATGTGCATGCTTGTGCTTCATAATGATAAATATTAGAATGTGAAATCAGACAATCCATACGAAAAGAAAGCAAAACACAAACAGTGGACATAGACAGACATGATTATTAACTCAATATGTTCGACACTGATTGTCAACTCAACACGCTCGTCATACTGATGAACTAAGACTGGTCAGTCAATAAACTTTAAATACTTTTATAGCGGGCGTTTAGTAGATTTCGGCTACCTTGATATTTAATTAGGCAAGTCTGTACACAACATAGTAAGAAAATGAAAACTTCACGTTTGGGTCTCAGCCAAAATCCCTTTGGACCCCAAAAGACGTTTTGTAAAATGCCAGTTTTTGGGGCGCGCTCATACACAAAGCGCAATCTTACAGCCAAAAACAAAAAAGTAAAACCTACTCAAGAGGGCACTCCTTAGATTGTGGCTGTCAACTTTCAATTAAACTTGGCTTGGCCGATTTTGTTACATAACAACCAATTTGGGAATCTCTGGAGGTCAAGGTCTCAAATGGGAAATCCCGTAAACACCAGGAACTATACACAACCAAATATTATTTTAAACTTATGAACAGAAGTCGAGTCCCTGGCAAGCTGAGTTGTGGGTCAGGTCAGATTTTTATAATATTTTTTTTTGCACCAGTGCAAAGATGGTTAAACAAGTAAGGATCTTTCACAACCTGGATTATAAGCAAAATTAATGTTTTAATTTCCTGCTAACCTGCGTCATATTGCGCATTATTTACAACGCGAGTGAAATTGACAAAACGTTTTTATTACGAATAATGAAACAGCGTTAGAGCCGCAAACTTGGGAGAGCAGGAAAAGTTGAACGTCACATCTAATAAACAAATTTTCGTTTAATGATAGACTCGCTCTGTTTTAGAGAGCTTCGTAAGAATGTAAATTTTTGCACTACCAAAAGCTGTATTTTGTTTTTACCAAACAATTTATTTGAGTTATCTACGACCTCATAGGACCCAAATCAGATTATGCACAAGACACCAGGAAAATGGCCACTGAACAATAAAATATTCAAGCAAAAGCAGCAATGTTTTGAAAACGAGCAACGTAGAAAAGCATTTTGGGCAAGAAAGATAGTGAAATTTAGCATGAGAGAGAGAGAAAGAGAGACAGAGAGAGCGAGAGAGAGAGAGAGAGAGGCAGAACATATCAACCGAAAGGACACAAAGATAGAAGTAGAAGAAAAAGGCAACATACAAAGGAGACAGGTCTTGTACGGATTGTGGCATTTAGAGTGCGATCGCTCGATGATGAGTGAGTAAAACCCCCTCAGTGCTTTGGACGTATATATGTTGACAGCTATATATTACCTCCACAGCACAGAGAGGGTTTTGGTGCAATTGCGTAGTTCCTGAAGAAAGGAAAGGGAAGCGGGACAGGGACGAACACCTCCGACCACGGAGCAGGACGCAAGCCAGACACACGCACATTCACAGACACATACGACACGAGAGGACGGGCTCGGACCCGCGGGTGGCCAACGAAAAGAAGGAGTGACCGCGGGCAGGAGTTGTTCCCTTTCATTCCAAAGGGGTGCTTTGCTTTGCTCCACTAACTTTTCGTTTTCTTTTGTGTCTTGTCGGGTGCTCATACAGCGAACAGGTCAGAAGTCAAACCCAGAGTTTGTATAGACACTTTGTGTGTATCCTGTTTTTCTCTGGCCGAGTGATCGAAAGTACAAAAAACCTGTCACTATTTTCTTGGTGAAATACCTCTAATAATTTTATTATTTTATTCCGTTATGATTCATTAGTTAAATTTTAGATCAGTTTATGTTTGTCAACTACCTCCCTTTTCCATTTTTAAAGCATACTTTAACATGTACAGTCTCCGGCAATATGAAAGACCCACTGGGAGCGCGTGGCCGAGGCGGTGGCTGGCGGGGGCGCTGCGAGCGCTCCGGGCGATTCCATTCTGCTTCGAAGGCAGGACGCTCACTTAGGGCTCAGCACAATCTGATAAGCGCGTTTCGCTTTAGCTGAGCCCGAGTGAGCGTCCTTCTCTCGAAGCAGAATGGAATTGCCCGGAGCGCTCGCAGCGCCCCCGCCAGCCACCGCCTCGGCCACGCGCTCCCAGTGGGTCTTTCATATTGCCGGAGACTGTATAAACAAAATAACCATTGAAGCTGTGGTGCACTTTGCGTTCTAAGCAATGGTTTCTTATTGCTTTCAGGATAATCTGTTAAACTTTTCAGCGGGATTGACGTTGTACTTTTACTTTAAGTACAAAACAAGAAGATAGTTTTCAACCTTTAGAATAAAGAGAAATCCTATCATCTGAGGGAGACGCTGCTCCACTGAAAGTTTTATTTTGTATTTTACATAATATGGGGGTGGCCAAGACTGCAGAAAGGTGCCACCTACGTGGACAAATGGACAAAAAAAATGAAGGAAGGCGTAAAACAAAAAAAATATGCCTTACATTTTAGATGCCCTTTATTATTGACTGGGTTGGAGATACACGCACATACAGGAACGAAATAGTGAGCAAGCAACGTGACATATTAAAAATCAATTCCAGAAACAACCATGTCTCCTCAAACAGGGGGAACAAGCAAATTATGTCAAAGTAAATAGTGTGAGAGAGGAGCTTCCGTATGACAAAAAGACAATTGCATAGGTCTTTACCACATACTTCATGCAGGTTGTAAGCCAAAAAATACATTAGTAAGAAGAAAAAAACAGAAGCACTCGCCTTTTTATGTTTACTAAATTGCATGCCATTTTTATAAACAATTCTTTGAATAAATTCGAAAATTTTAATAAATTTCTCTACCTATCTACCTATATAGGCTCAGACTAAACAACCATTGTTTCTGGCGCCTTTCGACAAAGAAAATGCCACAAATGCACAACGAGGGGTTTACAGCATATTCCTTTTGCAGTCATCTAAACGCACGCAAAACTGAACCATACAACAACATTTAGGAAAAACAGCAAATGTACCTTGATGACGTGGACAGAAGGGCTTCGGTTACGACCAGCAAGCGTAAGAAGTGTAAATAGAAGAGGAAAAAGTATACTTATCTTGTTGTGCCTAGGGCAGCGAAGACATCGCTTTTGAAAATTTCAGTAAGGGGGGGAGGGACCTTAAATAGGGGATAATTACAACCGACTCTCTTCAGGTCTCCGATTAATGCACAGTGGAAGAGAGCAGAAACGTCATATAACATCGAGTTAGCTGGATCATGAAAAGCAATTTTTTAATCCTAGCATTAGATCTTTATTCATATATTCTCTTTCTAAAAAAAGGCAGATGTCTAAAACACCGGACCTGAAGAGGGTTGGGCAACAATATCCGTGGTTGTCAGGTGTGAGTTCACTTACCTTCTTTGGTGTTTGTCCTGCTTGATGACACCTTATCTATGTAACTTAAACATCATCCCCCATAGCGTAGAAATATCACTTTGAAATATTAACGCAAAAAGCTGGCGGTGGAAAAAAAGTAGATTGTAAGTTGCCCTTTGATTGGGAATGCAGGTGGCACATCAATCAGTGATATTATTGTTTTCCTTTGCCATGTTTTGTTTTCATACAAACACTTTACTGTGATTGTCCTGAATTTGTTTAGTTTTGTTCTTAAGTACTTAGCATACAGTGACTTGGAGGTTTTGCTATCTTAATATCTCAAAAACACGAAGAAAACTCCATGTTTTCCTGTAGCGTATCATCCACCACACGTACATTTATTCAAAAGGCACATACACAGTACAATCATGCAGCCGTGTAAATTGCTTATTTTTATGCTCATTAAGTTTGGTGGAGTACTTAGTGCAAGGAGGAACATTTTTGGCTATGTTGTGCGGTTGAATTGCATGCATTGACGCACTAAATTCAATAGCCACGATACGTTTGTAACAGTGCACAGGATTTGTGAAAACAGTAAGTGCGCAGGCGAGCTGGTGACAGCTCTGGGTAGATGGTGGTGGAGAGTGGCTGTGTGGGTTTATATAGACCTTTTCACAAGGGCGTCCGCATCTTGAATAGTCGTCGGTTTAGTATGGGCGAAAACATTGTTTTGCCGTCGCCACGCCAATATAAGAAATTTAGGATATAAGCGTAACCGTCACATATTCTCTATTTACCTTCCCTCTATTTTTTTATTATTCCCAGGTTGTAACGTTCAATTATTCGTTATTTGCGCATACTGGATACGCCTGTTATGTGACTGGGGACGAAAGTACACGAGAAAGCTCTATAGAATTCTTGAGAAATAAACCAGTGTGCGGAGTTTGAGACGTTCTCTTCTGTTTCTGTTGCTCCGACCAAAAAAAAAATTGTTTCCTTTTCTGCACCACAATCTCAGGCGTTAACCGACATGGATAGGATTTGTGAAGCTTGATTTAGCTGAAGGGTCATACTGAAAACGTTTGTCCTAAATGCATGTATTCTTTAATATATAAATATATTTTGTTTATTAAACATCCTTGAACACGCTAATAACACTCAGAGATAGCAAGGTGTGTTTATTATCTGAGAAAGATTTTCGTGTCGGGACTCTTCTGGGGGCATTTTGCTATGTCGCAGTGTTCTTAAATGTACGCTTAGATAATAAATGTTTTCATTACCAAAGCAGATGTCTCTCGCTCAAAATACTCTAAATAAATAAAGTTCTAACTGTGATGGACGCGATGTTACTTCAAGTTATGTGCTTCCATGGCCATATGTGGGTGAGAGTATTCACTCCCCATAAATGTATGAGGAAAAACTTAGTCTTTGTTCGTTGTCTGGCTTAAAACAAAGAAAGCCTACGTGTGAAGGCTCAACTTTGTGTGCACTGATAACCCAGAACTGATATACTTTGATTGATGGGAGTGCAGGACATACTTGTGGAAGGGAGGAAAGAATAGAGGAAGGGGAAAATAAGGACACTACAGAAGGAAGATAAAGGGCAATACATAGTTGCATCACATACGCCCGCACTTCTCCTGAAATACAGTAGATGAACATACGCACTAGCAATTACTGCAGAAAGATGCACTGGCCAATCAACACTCCACGAAACTCGACAAAACAAAAGAGGGACATCACAACGTCAATGTCAAACACTGACAGCGACACAGCCAGGCCAGCAGGACCACGACAACGAAGGCGTCGGACGAAACAAGAGCGCAGAGTTTGCGGAGTGGCCGAGAACACTCACGTGAATAAAACTAAGCCAACAGCTCGTGGAACGCCATAAAATTTAATGCCTCCCTACGTTTGAAAGTTTTGGCGAAAGTGCTATTTTTCATTCTGGTCTAGGAGTGGACTTGACTCGGCACATCTTCTGTTTGCACGGTATTCGTGCTACTAAGTGCTAAGTGGTAATGTGCTATCGAAAGAAAATGAAACGCGAACGCCGGAACCCGTGGCCATCTATACATGCTGAGCTGAAAGTGACAAAACTGCGAACTGAAGAGGAGGCTGCGAGTGCGTGTGCTTCTCCAATGTGCACATCTTGGCCGCCCTTTTTCTTTTTTTGCAGGTTCATTGCCTCCAAAAATGCGCTGCACGTTTCGAAGGCCGCGCGTTCCTACGTTGGCGTTTCATTCCACTCCTGCGAACATTTAGATGCCTTCCATTATTGTAGAATATTTGAAAGTATACTAGGGCTGACATTCTGACATTCTACCACATAAACGCTAATTGTTACGAAGACAAATACTCATTGTAAATGTTAATTATATACTTCTCTCAATAAAATTAGCTCAAACTAGTGCTGCAAATAAAAAATGTGTTTATTCCGCAGTTGCCTGAGGAACTCTAAATGATGTTCCCTACGCTTTCACTGGATATTTTGTCCCTATGGTTTGCGGAACAAATACGATGGAGCCCAATGGTCGCTCGGCGAAAACGCGCTCTGGACAACACCACACAAGTTGAATACGAGCAGGCCACAGACAAGAACGCCACGGACAGCCAGCAGTGAGCAGTGAGAGAAGCTGTACTCCCACGATGCTCCCTCAGCGTGAAGCGAGACCGAGCTTTGCTCTTGCTTCAAATCTTTGCTCGAAACAAGGGTGGCATAACGCTCAGAAGAGGCACATCGGAAGACAGAGAGGCTGCCCTGTACCATACTTACCATGCTCAAATCGTCTATCTTGCTAATACTGCGGAGATAGATGTTGATCCTGACAACACACGGACCATCTACAGGAGGAAGGTCGGAAGAGGAGAGAAAAAGGGGAGAGTAAAAGACCCGCGGCAGAGACGTTGGTGCCCCGGGCCTGGCCCTACCTAGAGGTCTCCGGCGCGGCACTGATCGACCCACGACCATTTGCTCTCTCTCACCCTGCCTTTCTCTGATGTCACACTTACCATGGTGACGTCATCAATTCTGCTGATACTTCTTATATAGATGTTAACGCGTACAAGAGCCGGCCCGTCTGCATCGGGGGAAGGGAACAGACAGAAGGAACCGGTGGTGTAAGTTGGTTCAAGCCGAACCAAATGGGCCAGGCTTCTGGAGACAAAAAGTGGTGCACGCAACGCGCGAAGAAGAGGACGCTCGAGATGAGCGTTTTTATAGGTGTACCTCCGAAAAGAAAATCTAGATGTTAGGTTATACAGGGGGATTGATACTCATCCGAACAGTTTTTTTTTTAAACAAAACCGTAAAAGGTAGTAATGTGATCTGAGCAGGTGAGTTACATGGCCAGGGAGACATATTATAGGGGCATATTCCTCACAATAAGTCGAATAATGTTCATTTATTTTTGAACTACTAAAAATAAACTTATGATTTTAATCAGAAACATGTTAAGCGTCACCAAAAGCTCTATATCAGTTACTTCTAAAGATGTTTGAAGCACGTTATTAGCGTGTGGTTGCGCTAAAGTTTCCACTGGCGCACGAGGCGCGAAATTGACGGTCCAAAAACTCAGATAAAAAAAAAAAAAATTATCGTCCTCGTTTTCCGTCCGCCAGCTTTGCACCAGTTGCCCAAGTGGAAAACTTAGTGGAAAACCCGCGCTTATCACGTGTTCCAAAGTTTTCTAAAATTCACTTGTTAAGCGGCTATAGATGATAGTCATCAAGTTTTTAATTGAACCCAGATGTTTATTTTGACTAAGTAAAAAAGTTTTTTTAGTCACTTATTGGTCTTATCGGGGCGATTATCCACTTACATTACTTTCTCTTGGCCGCATAACCTAGCTGTCAGACCGTACTAGTGTGTCTTTCACAACTTTTTAAAAATCAATATGTTCGAATAAAAATAAACTTCCTCTATGTTATTAGGTAATCAACTGATCAGACTTAATTTAAAATCTGGGTTTCAAAAAATACCCAACTTTGTCGTTAATTTTTGGCTGACTGAAGCAATGTTTACCTAACACAAAAAGCACTCCTGCCTGGCGCTTGATTAGAAAAAAAACTGGGTTTAGAACGAAGTAATTTAATGCAAACAATAATTTGCCTGAAACACTGTTTTAATTCTAATACCTTGGCTGCCGAAAATTTGTTCTTCAATGTTTAGTTAATTTTTATAGAAAAGGATGATATAAAAACCTCGAGAGAATAACCAGCAACCTAAAGTGGCTAGAAATTTAATAAAATATATGTATACAGTGCATTAGCAATTTTTTTTAAATTTAATGAATGAATTTTGATGTAATGTTTTTTGTTTTTTTTTCGACAAATAGAATAGACCAGGCAAAGTAATTATACAATGTCATTTTAGTACACAAAACTTAACAGATTTAGAATTAAGCACACTTCCAGACATAAGTAAACAAACATATCATGCTTTTGGAATGCAAACTGATAAACGACACATTTTCAAACGCATAGACGTGCACTCACACAGGGATTAAGAAGGGATCTGGTTTTCACCATCAAAAATTCAAGCAGCGAGCCAAGCCATTGATCGAAGAAAATTCAATGTGACATAAAAATGTTTCTGCACACGACGCCAGCATTATTCAAGTGTGAACTTCAGCCATGCTAAAAGAGGCAATAAATTAACGCAACCATGGGAGCTGGAGCATCAAAAACAATATACGTGCTTCCATCACGGTATGCCATTAAGCAGAGGTTTATTTCAGTAAGCAAACAACGAGCTGAACAATACAGATAGCTCTACGGCTTTCATTCGCGGGAGGTTATCATTCGCGCTGAAGGAACAGCAAAGGCATAAAACAGAACCCATCAGGGAACACCGGTATCCTTCCCAGAAAACTAAAAACAGCGTGAGACAGTCGCCAACAACAGCCCCGTGTTCGACACGTTCGCTCATAAACAAAACGCCGGTGATTACAACGGGGATATTGTAGGATAACAAAGCGGCTCTATTCATGCCTTCCGCGAGCAGGGTACCGAGCGCCACAATGGCAGGCCCAGGTCTTTGTTGTCCGATTAGAAGCGGGACCTGTGCTCTATGGTTGACTGACCTCCACTCTTGGGCAGAGGGCTAGCTGCCAGCGAAACAATATTTGTTCGATAAGAACGGTAATAGCCTGTGCAGGAGGTTCTGTCTAACCCAAGGCGGGTTTAGACAGCAACAATAACAATGGCGTGTTTGTGCTAGGGGAGGGGGGCGGTATGTTCCCTTAACTGCTTTGGTGAATAATTATATTCTTATGTTACGGCCACCAGTACGCCGCTTGTGGGATTGCATAGTGTTGTAGTCAGAGCTAAAGTAGCTGTGCAACGATTTTAACGTTGAAAGCATTGGCATCTTCTACTCTAGACATTGTTGTCACAAAGGACAGAAAACACACCTCCTTCCTTCGAATTGTTGCGATTCTGCCGCGTAATCGCGAGGCAAAAAGTAGAATATTCCCCGACCTGCAGCCGCGAGCGCGGCCATGAGAACGACGCGGCATGACGTTAATGGGGGTCTTGTAGAAAGATAGCAAGTTGTGCGAATACCTACTAAATAAAAGGTAACTTTTCTATAAATCTTGTCTTTCCAACATAAATATAAATGCGTCAAAAACCTGGTATCGTCGACAAAACTTTCATTATGCGGAGTTTTAGTGGCACCATCTATCCTAGGTCGACAAAACTGTCAGCTCTATCTGATACCGCGAACAGCCGCCAGAAGCCGGAGGGGAGGGAGACAGAGCCGGACAGGTATGGCCGGACCCGGAGGAGACTTTACCTCTTTCACCATATTGTTCGCGCTGCACCCGCCAGCGCGTGGTCACGCGGTCGCGAGCGGATGGGTTCTAGCTGCTCACTGATTGCTCTAAAGAGATGAGCTTCACCGGGACCCCGCACGACCCCCATCGACGTCACAGCGCGCGTGAGTCGGAAGATAGGGAAGGAGTTGAGAGGTGCCGAAAACCTCAATTTTTGTTCATTTTTAAAATAAAAACTAGGACATGCAGGCAAAAGCGGTTTTGGTTCTTTACCTCAGAAAGGTGAAGACACCAACTCCCAAATTATTTCAGCAGGGCACTGAAACTGTTGCACAGCTCCTTCACCAATGTCTAGTCCCACGTCTGTGTATTGTTACGAATAAAAAAGAGAAGATAAAAACGTACTGCAACTAAACTTTTTATGAGGTGAACTTATGTCTGCAGTAAAACAAGAACAGAGCATCCTGCGTAAGAGACGGAAGGGCTACTAACTCGATGTTGCCAGTCTCAGCTTCATTTATAGACTAGGTAGGCTATAACACGGTGCAGAAAAGAGGTGTAGGAAAAAAGCCAGAAAGAGGGTCGCGATTCAAATAGGGCTTAGCGAATCTCGCAGCAGGGGCACTGTCGGGCTTGTGATCCGCGCTCAGATGCGGTTGTGCGGCCTTATAAACGTGTGCGCTAATAAGGACGGTTCCATGAGCTCCCGTTATAATGCACCGTCTCACGGCGTTTGGCAGGAACCGGAGCGAAACTTCGACACTCTTGCTCGGTGGCGCCTTTCAGACACCTCTCCGTTCTTTCAACGTGGTCTTGAATACTGTGAACCGGAACAAGCGATGCAATACAAAATTCTACTACACTTCGTCTCAACCTACGATGGATTAAAGGCCAAAACCACGGGCGGCCAGATCCAATGACGGTCCACGCTATACTATGACACGCTTAACATTGATTAGGGATGGAGGAATAATGCTCGAATTCAAAAGCGTTGTATCATTCCTATTGCGTCGACGCTGCAAAGAGCCGATATACCGTGGCTTTCTTTACGGTGTACAATTGTTGAGTCATTCAGTGCTCTCCGGTTCGAATTACTGTCCACCCGCCCCCTCATCAGTGATCCAAAACGCGGGCACCGATGCGTGCAGAACAGGATTTGAACCTCCGACCTTTCGGTTGCGAGCCGGACATGTTACCCACAAGGACACGGCGACGGTACGAGCAGTAGTTCATATGTTTAGCTGTCGCGTTCTACTCTTCCTTAACTTTGCAATTTTGCAGCTAGTTGTTGATAAAATAATTTTAACATATTTGAAAATTGGCGTTTATACACCTATTTCTTTTCACTTTCTCGTGCTTTTCGACAATGCATTGTGATCGAAATAGCTTCATTATTAGTCGTCACAGTTTAAGTAAAAGAAAATAATAAGGTTGTTTCGGAGATCGCAAGCCCTTCCAGCATGCTCATTTACTGCTTAATATTTTGGCAAAGATAGTCAATTAAATCTACCCACAAATTAGAATGCAAAAAAAAAAATCATCTGGAAATTTTGAGCAAAGAGCTCACCCGAAGCCACCAACCTTGTTAGCGACATCATCTGCGTAAGACATTCGAGTGTCATTGACTCCTTTCTCAAAATGGAACTATGGCTGCAGCGTCAATGGGAGTTGAGAGTTAACAAAGGCGGTAAATCGAGCGAGAGTATTTGCGATACAACATCCGAACCAGTTTACTAGGTTGATGGATGGCAGACGGCCGCTCTATTCACTCCGTGCTACAGCCTTCCCGAGGCTCTCGGCCATCAGCGTTTCAACACTTCTTTCCCGCCGCGCTCCATTCCTTGCAGCCGATTGCAATGCCTCCAACTTTTTTCTTTCGGGCTTATCTACTCACAAAAAAGAGCCTCATATAAAAGAACCATCGACAAAAAAAGCCTCGCACTGGCTACATTAAATTTCTCCGGCGCTTCGTGGCGAGACCTAACTTCATTTTTGATGCATATCTGACGATTTCTCGCAGGCACAACTTTCACGCCAGCTTCCCTTGCTTTCCACTCAGTTCTTTCC